TTATGTTTGTATGTTTCTGAATCTGTTTTGATTTTGCTATCTATTAGCAAAGATTTTTCAATAGGGTGCATATCTGATATTTGTGCTGGTCATTATGAAACCATGATTTTTGACTCCCGCAACCAATCTTTGACATGTCTAAGGTTATTGTCAAGAATTGCCCAAACAAGCGGTAGGTTTTCTTCAGCGAATCAATCAGACACATTAATTTATAAATATCGTAAATAGATCGAAAGCCATAAAAAGAAAACCAGGATTAATTGAACCTTTTATTTTGGCCTTTTCAAGGTTTTTTTTTTTTTTTTTTTATTTATTTTTTTTTTATTTTTTTTTTTTTTATTTTTTTAAATTTTTTTTTTTTTTTTTTTGTCAGAGCCTTTAACATGAAACTCTAATTTAATCTAGAACACAATATGCTGATATAGTTGCATAAAACCAACTTATAATTGGGAAATCGCGGATTTATTTATGGAACATTTCTCCGTAATAATATTCGGTGTAGTGCTATTCTGTAATTGCTTAACGACAAAATTACCATCGATTTTCGATAACTTCAAATTTTCATTTACTTATAATTTCGTTGATTAACGAAAATATTCGGTAAGTTAACGATCAGAATAAAGTAGTCGTTAAGCCTTACCAAGAGATATGACAAATTTATCATAAGTTTTAGTTTTAATATGAAAAATATGTGTTATAATTTTATCGATATTTGTCGGTAACATTGAAAAGAGTTACAGAATTGCACTACAGACCTAATTATAATTTTATGGCATAATAAATGGTAACAGCATATAACAACTAATGCCAATGTCATTTAATCGAAAAATGTTTAAAAAAATAGAAATTATAAAAAATATTTATTTTCAAAATAAAATTGAAAAACATGAATGAAAATCTACCAATATATATTTCTATCGCTTCCACATCGTTCCTCACATCGAGAAAAATGCTGGAAATTGCAAGTTATTCTACGAAGAGAGATTTGGTTTATCAAACTTGCCCAGCAGGCAGATTGAGTAAATTGTATGCGGGAGGACATTTTATAAAGAACAAATTTCGAATTGTATTAAAAAGATATTTTGGCATATTTATATTGGCACTAGTATTACGTTGGAATCAAATCAGGTAACAGTCTTTTATAATTTTACGATTTTATGCTTTAACATAACTTCCTATTTATACCCTGCACAACTATGTTGTCAGGGTATTATAGCTTTGTGCAGCCCCTTTAAGTATACCGATCGTCATATCTCGACTAGCTGAGTCGATCTAGACATGTGTGTCCGTTCGTCCGTCTGTCCATTATATTTTGTAAACACGATACAGGCCACACGAAATTTTGCATGTATTGTTTTTGGTAAAGATCGGATAATATTTAGGGGATGAAATGTACCAAATACTTAATTTTTGTCGGATTTTCTTGTCGCTCTAGAGGCCGCAATTATGGCCCAAACATCTCGAATTTTTACATGGGAAGAGGATTGGGCCAAGGAATAAGCATACCTGTTTTGATAAAGATCGTTCATATATCCAATATCGAACAATTTTTAGATAAGTAGATTGTGTACCTAATGAAAATTCAAAACAATATATTACATCCGATTTGACCCAAAATTATACCAAAAAATTTCAATATTTCGGATGCTATCTTATTATAATATCATATAACTTATATAGTATGTTGTCAATATTTCGGATGCTATCTTACAATACTATATCATACAATTTTCTATGAACATAAAATTGTTTAATTTTTTAAGACTTTGATTTTGTGAGACTTAACCGTGTGAAAAATTCATCCATTCTAAACGAGGTTTTAAGAAGCGTTGATTGTTTTTCCTTTGAATATCTTCCAGACATATATTGTTGGTCGAATTAATAACAAATTCTCAGCTAGAGTTTTTCTTCGACCGCCAAAATCTTTCTGATTTTGTCCCGATTGTTTGCAGATTTTAGTGCTGCACAATGTTATATATTGAATATTCCAACATTATATAAATATTGTAGAACTGTTACGGCAGCCTAAATACAAATTCCCATAGCGACTTAATAAGATTTATATATTTAAATATTTTTATTGTTTTCGGGATTCGCAGGATTGCTTGGATTCTATGTTTATATAAAATTACAATTCAATTTATTGTTTCAAAATCTGAGAAAATTTGAAATTAAACTATTGCATCGATACCAATCCTCCAAGAATCTAAGTACTACATTTACAATTTTTGGAACTTATTACTTGAAACCCGTTCGTGTACCTAACAACTTATAATACTTTTAATCAAATTTAAAGGAGTACATACCCTCTTTAGTAGCATTGTTATTAAAACAAATATTTTTCTAAAATGAAATTCCAAATTTACATTCAGAATTTTTGAACAATATAATGAGTTTGTCCTATTTTACTTCACAATATATGATGTTCTCTCTATATTGATTATTAACCATAAATTTTTCCAACAGTCCTTCTGTCATCAAAAGTTGTTTTTTAAATATTTTCGAGTGGTCAGTTTTTCAATACAAATTTTCTCTTTTTTCCTTCGAATGCCCACAGTCATTGCAAAACCACCATTGACCACCTTAAGGTAGGCTCACTTTATTTATTATTCTCCCATTTCAAATCAATTGGTAATGAATAAAAATCTATAAACGGACAATATCCCATATGTATGTATACAAAAAAAACAACCCAAGCCATCTGCTAGAAAATATTTTGAAAAAAAAAAAAACTGACCATTTTCGGGATCCCCACTCACTAGAATTTGCATATGCCAATAATGGCCAACAGCAAACGCAACAGAGACAGAGAGAATGGTCTCTTCGAATGAGAACATGGCTCATTCAGAGCAACCAACATAAAAATTATATTCCAGTATGAACGAACTCTTTATTTTTTCGATTTTGTATGTAAATAAAAATGTACGTTTGTTTCCTATAATACAGCATGGAACTGAAATGCGTCGTCTATTTGTTTGTTTGTATGTGGCCCCAATGGCTTTGGGAGGGAGGTTGGCTTTGAGTGTGACTTTTTGAATGTTCACGTCTAAAGAGTAATGTGCGAGCGTGAGACTGCTTAAAATGCTACTGGTGCGACAAGTACATGACCAAATGCTAAGTCAGGTGCACACATGTATGTAACTGTGTGAGTGTGTGTGTGTGGAGTCCTGCAAATCCACGCTATATACATTTATATATCTTCGTATTGGTGGTATGTGTGTTTGAATGTGTTGGTGAGTTGGATTAACGTTGCACGTTCGTTGGTCGTTTATTCCTGCTGCTGCCGATGATGTGGTTGTTGTTGGATTACCAATATTTGGTGTGTGTGTGTGTGTGTGTTTGCTGGTTCTTCCTTTTGTACTGAGAGTAACGTTGTTTTAAAACCCGTTCGTGTTGTGCATGCCGAGTCAACTGTGTCACCCCCCGAAAAAAGCAACCAACAACAACAAAATTGAGTAGTTTCTTGTTGTTTTTGTATCCGCTGCTTTGGGTGCGTGCACAAGAACAGTGTCATACTGTCACTGCTACCACCACAAAGGCAGAGATTACTAACTGAGTTCTTGTAAGTGAGTGTGTGTGTGCGTTGTTGTAATTCAGGCAATGTTACAAAGAGATTTGTTTTTGTTGTAACTGTAAAGGTTCTTGGTTCATATTGGAATGACATGGTAGTCGACGCTGTTGTTGTTGTTTTTGTTCTTATTATGGCAAATCTTATGGCTTGAAATTTGTCATAGAATGATAGTATAGTTGTGTGTGTGCGGGTTACTTCTGCTAACTGAAATTGCCCAGAGAGTGTGTGTGCGTGCGTATCATTCCCATTAGTGGGGTTATAGCGCTCGTGAGCTAGTGTGTGTGAGACATCTTCAATTCCACTTTGGTTTTTGTTTTGTTTGTGACGTGAACGTGGGCTTTACGAATTATTCTGCACGTACTCGTTGCCAACAACGGACGTACGCTCGTATTATACGGCTTGGTATATTATTTTTTTGGGAACGAACACATCGAACCCCCCAAAAAAAGAAAAATAATACACACACATACGTACACAAGCCAGTCGTAAAGGAAGAAGATTCGTGCTGAATTTTTATACATTAAAAAAAACGTCCAAGTCTTTGCGAGAGGGGGTCCAACAACATAACATCAACGCCAGTAGTAGTCAGTGCGGTGTCGTCGCTGTAGTAGCTCAACATAATTACCGCCCCCTCAACGTGAGCGCGCGTTTTGAAATCGTGAGTGAGTGCGTGTTCACGTCTTTGTCGTCGTCGTCGCCAATTTCGTCATCATCATCACAGTTACACAGTCAGTGTAGTGTAGCATCAATCGGATGCTGGACTTTAGTTCAATAACGTCTATTACGTGCCAAATCCGTTAAATATCTTTCTGTGTAAAAACAACAACAACAAAAGAAATCATCAACAGCAACAAAAACATAACGCGTTTAACGTGATCAGCCAAACCGTCAATCGGTTAACAAGAAAAGGCTGCAAAAAAATTCAACAATTTTTTTCTCCTCCCGTTGTTCTTGAGGCCATCACAAAAAAAACTGGACGCGTGTGAATTTTGTGCAATATTTTTAGGGTCACGCCAAGTGTACAAACACGTCCTAGCCACACATTCAATAGGATGTAATTTGAATTTTGATAAGTTTCAAAATTTCCAGACATCAATAATAACAATACAAAAACACACACACACAAAACAGCAACAATTATAATAATAATTTCCTACAACAAATAGTAAATGAATGTGAAAAATAACAACAACATCAAAGTGCAAGTGAAAGTGATTGACCTGTAATCAAAGAAATTATTTGCTTATAATACAACAAATGTTGCCAAAAAAGAAAATGTTGAATTTTACATAAATAAAAAAACATTTTTAACGCTATTCCCTTACACTCCACTTGTTATTCTATCCTCCTCTTTTCCCGTTTCGGCACAATATAACTACCTCAAAAATAACGCGCAAATCGAATCGGTGAAGTTTCCTCCTTTCTTGCAATGTTACCCTATCAAGCCGTCGCCATGGATTATGCTGGCTATCCACGTCAACAAACACCGGGTCATCCCGGTAGCCACATGGCACCCATGGGTTCATTGGGTATGCCGACGGTGGGCGCCGGAGCATTTACCCATTCATGGCTAGTACCAACACAAGATTTGTGCGCTGTGCCTTATAATAAAATGCCAAATCAACATCATCATCAGCAGCATCAACCACAGCCATTGGAACCAGGGTTAGTTATGACATTTTTTTTTTTTAATTAATTATATTAATATAATAGTTAGTAGTTTTGAGTGAAAATTATGGAAAATGTTAACCAAAAAATAGGAAATGATTACAAGTATTGTCCAAACTGTTTCCAAAATACCAATTTTGAATTGTAAACAAATTTTATTCGGGCCCTAGAATAAATTCTTAACAGATAATTTAGGAAAACAAATTGAAATAGTTTATATTCAAATCTCCATAATCACCGACGGCTTACATTTGTCAAGTGTTTATTTTTGTTTCTTTTTTTTATTAAAAATTGGTAACTTTATGTTCGTCTTCTCTTCTGGAGGGAACAGAAATAAAAAAAATATTGTGAAAAATGTATGCGAGTTAGAAAAACTGTTCTTATAAAATGTTCGGAAACTGTTTTCGTTTCTTCCTTCTCCGAATCTTAGTATTAGTCGAATATTAATAATATTCTAATGTGAAAACATATTTCGAATATTCTAAAAAAATATAAAAAAGTATCGAACTTGTGTTTTAGAAATTTATTTTTCAAATTTGAAAATAAAATTATACCTTAAATGCAAAAAACAACTAATTCCGAATCTCTTCTTCTGGGAAATACATTTTAAGTATAACAAATAATTCAATATTCTTTTAAAATGTTCATTCGAACATTTACAAAATATTATTTTTTGTCTTTACCGAAGATTAAAAAGTTCTACTTTATATATTTTGAACGTAAATATTTTATTCTGTCGCATTTTATAATGTGCTTTTATTTTATTTCTTTCCCAACTTTAACGTTACAGAAAAGTTCGAATTTATACATTTTAAACGTAAATATATCGTCGCAATTTAAAATACGCTTTTATTTTATTTCTGTTTCAATTCCATGCCAGCTCTCTTAAATATCATTAGATCGCGAATTGTGAAACTTTGTAATGCAGAAAACAATCAGTTGTTTTGGTCAGTTATGTGTGGGTAATATCAACAACAATTGATTTTATAAATTATCAGAAACAATCTATAGTCGAATCGAATATAATAGAAATTAATCGGAATCCAAAGGATACTATTTTTTTTTTCTTGCATTTTCCCAATCAAACTTCGTTGAATACTTTTTTTTGTATTAATATTTGCATTTGTTTTCTCAACACAAAATATATCCTTTATGCAATCCTTTATTTCCAAGAAAAATTACCCAATATTGCAATATAACTAAACCTATTGATAGATCGAACAAAAGAAAATATAACACCTTCATATTATTTTGAAAAATATAAAAACACATATTTTCATAAATATTGCACAATTTTTCCTGGTGGCAAACGTCAACGTGTTGCAGTCAAAACACAGTAGGATATCATAAAGATTTATGACATACCCCGTTAGATATACATCAGCACGCTGTTGACCATACTTGACATCACAGCATGAAGTCCTATTGTTGGTGTAGTTCATTGGAATCATAACCATTTTGGCCTAGTTATCATAAGGGGCAAAAAGTGTGAGCAAGGCAATAACAGTTATAAGATATTGTTTTTATATTTGTTTCCAAAAAAAATTTTTGAAGATAATAATAACGATATGAAAGATAACAGTTACAGCATCGAAGTTCCTTGGAAATACACATAAATATTTGTCAAGGACACATTTTGTATCTGTTCAACAAGTAGATTTTGTCGATTTTGGCACACTTAGGTGTTGTTAAGTTGCTGGTGCTAGAATATCTAAGTACATCAATAATTGAATTTCACTTTCAGTTTTAACCTTGACTCAAAAACATTAAAATATTAATTGTTTTTCTAATTATTTGGTTGGGTTCACAAATCAAGGATAAAGAAAGTTGTAAAACCTCTATTAAGTAAAAGCCAAAAGATGACAAGTTTTTTTGTTTACAAAACAGAAATTTAGTTTTGTATTTAAAATGAATTGGTTTTAAAACATTCGGGCGCCACTTTCGAAATACTAGTTAAAGCGCTTTAGCTTTAATTAAAAACAAATAATAAACAAACTAGAAATTCTGACAAAAACATGACATTTCAGTATTAAATTTTTTTAATCAAATTCTCTTAAGAAAAATTACATATTTTCAAAATTCTCTTCTTTTTCTCACCTTCTATGATATATTGTTGTCATTACTGTGATTTTTTTATGTGGCTGTCTTCACTAGTATCTCACCTACATATAATACACACACGCATCATATTTTCACCCTACTCCTCAATCAATCTGAGAGAAGAAGGTATTCACACATTGTTCTCTGTTTACTTACAATGAATGGCCCTAAGCAATGACTAATTGCCGGCAATTAATATTGACCACGACATGTATTCATGTCAGCAATAGGTCGCAGTACTAAATTTGTTTTCTTTAGCAAGTGTCCAAACGACATATTCTCACATTAATTTTGGATGGCAGGATGGATTTGTGTCCATGAAAAACTGACAACGAACTCAAAAATTTCTATAGTCAGGTCTCACTCAGTATTGTGTATGAAGAAAATGTGAATAATTGCCATATAAGTGTAACAAATTAATAATAGAGGTTTTATTGAAGACAATTTTAGGTAATACAGTGATTTGGAAAATAAGTCCACTTTTTTTTGAATTTAAGAAAAATATTAAAAATAGAGGGAAAATAATTTTAAAAGGTAAATTATATTGACAGCTGAAAATGAAATTGTAAAAGAAGTAGTTAATAAATTCGTTTGGCGTATGGTTTTAACTAACTTGTTTCTACTTCTTATTTTATACAAATATTATTGATATGTTTCTCAAGAATAAAAAGAGATTAGAGTTCCGTTCTGAAACGGAACTCTAATGATATTTAGAGACTATTATCAATGCCTTTGTCAAATAAGTGTTCGACTATTATTAAGTCGAATAGCATTTTTCCATTATTTTTTCAAATAAATTTTAAGCTACGAATTCCATTAAAATTGTCATTAGGTTCTCCATTAAAGAAATTATCGTCTTTATATATTTTGAACGTAAATATAACGTTACAATTTACCATATGCGTTTATTCTATTTCTGTTGCAATTCCATACCATTCCTCGTATTCATTAAATTCCAATAGATCACAGAATGTGAAACCCCATAATGCAAAAAGAAATCAGCTGTTACTATCAATCAGCTGTGGTGTGACATCTGAAGTTATCCTTTAAAAAAATTACAGAAATATTAATTTTTTTATTTTGAAATTAAAAATATTCCAAAACATTTATTTGTATCCTTTTATTAGTAATTTCAAATATCCTCAGTATAATTACACATAGGTTCAAATATCATAGATTATGGAGGTAGGAGAAGCATTTTCTTATAATCAATAGTTTTAAAATGATTTCTTAGATTTATTAATAGGTTAATCGTTTTTTTATTAACATGAAAAATATCGGAACATGCTTCAGCTGCTTAATATTTAAATTCTAATTACCATAATTTAATGCAGCTATCAAATAATTTCAATCTTTAATTTCTACAATTAGGACAAGTCAAGAAAACTAAAACTACAACTAACTTCTTTTCTCTCATGTTGATCAATTATCACAACCTACACATACTCTCGTAATTGTATTACAAGAAAATAAAAAAAAATTAAAATGTAGTTTTATGTTAACATGAAAACCACAAAAACCCCCACGAAAATAGACCATAACTTGTAAGCCAAAACAAGCATAAGCTTTAAAACCATTTCAAGAAAATAAAAAAAATAAGAAGCAGATAAACGGCTACTTGATTACTAGTTGACGGCTTGTTGTCGTTTTTTTCTTTTTCTTAATTTTTTGTGTTCACGTTAGCTTGCTATATTTTGTTTTGATCTAAATACAGAAGTTTTTTTTCATTTGTTGTTTGCCGGCATTGTTTCTTTTTTACTAGCTTTGCTATATTATGATTTTATTGTTATTATTGTTGTCTTATGGCTTGTGATTTAAAGTGAATTTTGTCTTGTGTAGCGAGATTGAGATGCTGGCTGCTTTAAGCCAAGTTAGCTTGGCTTGGCGGCTGCAAATCCAAAATAAAAGGGAGATGCATATCATGATAACTTCATAAGAAAGAGATTTTCTTGTTGTTATACAACGTTAAGCCAGTGTCGGCATTTTTAAGTTTTTATTTTTCTTCCCTTTTTTGCATCTACCTATTTTTATGATTTAAATATTTCTTTAAAGCTATTTTTGTTGTAGGTTTTTTTGTTATATTTCTTATGAAAATCTGAGCTAAAGATTTCATCAAAAAAAAGGTTTCAAAAAATATTTGTGGGTAATTAAATTTATTAACACAAAACTTCTTCACATCCCATGACATATTTATTTTCTGTAAAAACCGGGTTTGAAGCACTTTTGGCACGGGCCAAAAACTGAAAACCAGTTTTCTATTATTAAAAAAAAAAGTTATTAAGAATTTGTTTTTCTAGTTTTTTTGTTTATAATTATTGTTTAAAAAGCATATATTAAAATGATTTAATGGTTTCATTTAATTTTTTTATTCCTAAAAAATATGTTTAAAATTAGGGTTAAAAAATATTAATTAATTATTAGTAGTGTTGGCGGTTTATTTGGGATACCATTTGTATTTTGTTTTTGCAAAATAGTCAGGCTGAATCCCAGTTTGTTGTTTTTATAAAAAACAACTATTTATTAGTGGGGAATGTATGACATTGTTAATTATTATTATTAAACAAAGTGCGACTGAAAAAAAGAACAAAAATACGCGTTGTATGTAGTTCTTATATCGAATTTGGTTTTCAACGTTGGGCGCCAGTTCTTAAATTTTGGATTTTAACAAGAAAATTTAACAGACACATTTCTATTGTTATATTAACAAATATTAAATTAATTTTAAATCCAGCGGGCTGATAGCTTTATCACAATAATTAGCACAGTATTGATTTCAGAAATAAATTAAAAAATTTGGTTTTGAGTCACATTTTTTTATTTATTCGCTTCCCATTATTGATTTAAAAAAATATTAATATTAAACAAAGTGTGGTTGAAATAAAACTGAATAGAAAAAATATTGTATGCATATTTTATATTAAAATATTATGTATAACGTTGGGCGCCAGATCTTAAAGCATAGATTTTGCCCAGAAAATTTAACGAACAAATTTTTATTGATTTACTAAAAAATATTTAATTAATTTTGAGATACATTAGAAATAATTGTTCACAATAATTCAAATAATATTGGTTTCAGAAAAAAATTAAAATTTTTGTTTGAGTATTTTTTTTTATTTTGAGTTTCCATCTTGTTTCCATCTAAAGCCAATATTTACCACAAACTCATTTTCCCCCAATGCGCTATCAAAATATTGCAAACAAATCTACCATCTGAAGAGTTCTTTTAATCGGCTTTAAATGATTTTCTGCATGATTGCCATTTTTACCTATTAACCAAATATTCGCACCTCGATCCAATGGCGATGATATGGATCACTTATTTCCAAACAAAACGGCCAATATGTAATACCCTACTAATCTGATTAATGTTGTAGAAATAAATGAAAACATTACAACGCAAAAGAGGATTAAAGACGGGAAACATTAAGGGAATTAATTGCAAACAACAGGTAACGGAAGTCAAAAGGTCGGGTAAATAAAAAAACGGTACATTTTTAATTTGAAAAATTTAATTAAAACATTAGCAAGACGGCAAAAAATACGGAAGCTGAAATTTTGAAAATAAAAAAATAAACTAATTGAGGAATGTAAAAATAGTGAAACCCTAACAAATTAGAAATTAATGAAAATCTACAAATTAGGATTAATTTCAAGGGCCCTGAAAAAAAATCAAAATTACATTTTAATTATCCTTGCTAACATTTGCAAGGATTTCATGGTGCAATTATTATTAAACAAATTGCAAAAACAAAATTAATTATGTTATTTATATTTTTTACGCTTGTCTTTGTATGTGTTAGCTAACGAATAATTTCAAAAAAAAAATCTAAAATCAATTTTCTGATTATTGGCAGTTTTAAAATATGCTAGGCCAATTTGTCTAGCATCATCTATTTGACACCAAGGCATCGCAATTAGCAAAAAAGTATTGACAGCTAATTTGTTAACGATTGATTTTCAACATACATAAGAGTTGACACATACACGCACGATGAATAGAAGAATAGTTGTAGAGTATTTTTTGGTGGTGGTGGTGATGGTGTTTTGAAAAGATCCATTCAACGAAGATTAATTGTTTTGGGAATACAAAACAGCCAATGTATGCAGACGAACTCGAAACTAAATGCTATTCGAAAAAAATGTTTACGCCAATATTTGGTTCACAAAAGAAATAACAAAATTTTTTTACCACCTTTTGTAAAGTTTTGACAAGAATTTATATTGATATTTAGACAAAACTATAGCATACGAGACCTTTTGAGATGAGGAGTAAAGAAAAATGCGCCAGATATACAGTACATATTTCATTTGGTTTATTTCACATTTAACACATCGTACACAATTAACTTTACCTTTAAAGATAAAACTACTCCACAGAATATTGTAGTGCAGCATTTTCAATTATCTACTTTTATTAAAAAAAGTCTTATAAAAATAATAAAATATATGGTGCCCAATTGTTTTAGAATTTGTAAGGGTTAATTTACAAATAACGCATTACATTCCCGTTGGTTGTAAAAAAATGTCCAAAGGACCAGGAGAAATTAAAAATAAAAACACTGGAAATTGTAATACTTTACGTTGGGCGATCCGTTAATCCTGATTCTACATTACAGTTTTAAAGCTGAAAACTCCTTTAAATGTCTTTAAACGTTGTTGGATATTTTTGACGTTGGGCACCATCATTTTAATTGTCTTTTCATTACACTATTTAAGCTAAAAAATCAGTTCAGACAACCTTTAGGTTATAAATGAAAACAAATATTATATTGGGCGCCAGACCAAAACTAAACGTCAATCACATTTTTTGGTAACATCTAAGGAATAAAACACCTTTGGCGTCATCTTCTTTAAAAAATTCAAGTATTTAAAATTTATTTCTCATTTCAGAAAAACATTTTTTAAATCAATACTATGTTGGGCGCCATATTAGTAAATATTTCAAATTGAGCATTAATTTGTATTTTTATCTTTATATTCTACTTATCTCTATTTCATTCAAATTCACTTTAATTAATTGATTATTTTTTTAATTTGTCTTCTCTATTGAATTTACTTATAAATCTTTAATATTTTCATGTTGGGAGCCATTTTTAAACTTAATTAAAATTCTTTTAAATTCACCTTATATTAATTTTTTGTATTATTTTCTCTAATTACAGAATTCTAGAACTGCGCAAAGAAAAATCCCGCGATGCAGCCCGCTCCCGACGCGGCAAAGAGAATTTCGAATTCTATGAATTGGCGAAAATGTTACCATTACCTGCAGCAATCACCAGTCAATTAGATAAGGCTTCGATAATAAGACTGACCATAAGCTATTTAAAATTAAGAGACTTCTCCAGTCATGGTGATCCACCATGGACCCGGGAACAAAGCACCAGCAGCAAATTGAAAAGTAAGTATTTATGGATACGTACAGAAACAAAAAAAAATGATCTAACTAGAAAGGTTTGAGGCGAGAACGTATAGAAATACGCACGGAAATAAAAAATAAGAAGATAGGTTTCAGGGTACAGAGGTTTCTATAAATTTTGAAAAAAAAACTTTAATTCACCGTTTTAATTCCGCGCGGAAATATATAAATAAAGTCATCGGGGATCGAATGAAAATAAAAAAAAATTATTTGTTTATTCGAGATTTTCGGTGTGTTGACCCATAAGTTGGGCGCCATTCTCTAAATGCATTTACAAATCAATCAAATCAATTATTCCAGTACACATTCTTTTATAAAAAGCGCTAGGAAAAATTTTCTTTAGATAATTTTCAAAGTCATCTTTGTTTTGTGCCTGGCAATGTTTTCGTACCTAAATATTTTCTGTGGTTAATTTCAAATTTTCCTCAAGGGATTAAAAAATCGAATAGCATGTACATTTTAAGCCCTGGCCCTGTCTTATAATGCATTCAAAGTATGAGTAAGACCTTCTCTTTCACCCATAACCACATTCTAAACAACTGAATACAAAAAAGCCCCTCCAAGCCATTGAATCATCATTATAACTATTTCCATAATAGATAAACTCTAACAACATTGCGGCCATATTTAAATAGAAGAAAGGAAAATACACAAAACACAAATAGAAGAAGAAGCAGAAGAGTCCCATGAAAAAAACAACAACTGAAAAAAATATGGCGGTTTAATGAAATGCATCATAAATAACTCAATACAACGAACAACACTTGCACACAAATCGATAAATAAAAAAGAAACAAATAAAGAGAAATTTCCCTTTACATGCAATGCCATTAACATAAAAGAGAGAGATAGAGAGGGAATTACATATTTGAATAATTTTTTTTTTTAATTTTTTTATTTCTACTCTGTGTCATTGTGTTGAGGGCAAGTACTTGAAATTTATTTGTTTTTTTTTAAAGGAAGTGAAATTTGATTTTTTTTTTTTTTTGAGTCTTCTCAGTATTTTGGGTTTTTTCATTATTATTATTAACTATTCGAAAATTTAATGCTGTATGTGCTTAGCATAATTAATTGTTGAATTATAACACATATATTTGAAATGGTTTTCGTTTAGAAACAAGCGTGTGTATTCATGAATTCAAAAAAAAATGTTTTATTGAAAAAATTATATGTCATTTGTATTGCCTTTTGAAATTTTTATTTTGGGTATTTAAAAAAATTGGATTTTTTAATGTGTCTACGGAATTAAATGATTATGGCATGGTCATGGCAAAAAATGAATCTTATATAGAAAAAAGGCAATTCAATAGAATTGAACATTATTTTGCACATGTTATGAAGAAGTATGATTTGAAAATATCAATTAATTAAATTAATTAAAAAATGTATTTAAACATTAAATAATTAAAATCTATTCATAGTTTTTAAATTTTTTATTTTTTAAATTGCTATAATATTTTTACCTATTTAAGAATTAAAATTGGTAAAAATATTTCAATAATTATTTTTTTTTCTTGAATTTAAATTCCAAAATTTCTGCTGACATCTGTGATATAACATTTCTAGTCTTTTAACTATTATATAATAAACTGTTAATTTGTTGTAAACATCTGTGTACTTTATGGAACCGTGACTTATGTCATGTTTAATTTCACCATTGCTTATGTAATTACTTTGCCCGGGGGAAGGGGATTTTATTTTGAAATAATGTTACAAAATATATTACCCACACCAAAAACAAAAAAAAACAAACCGAAACAACCTTTATAAACAACAATAAAATTGAAGGTTAATTAATACCAATTTTGGGTTAAAATAGTCACGAAATGATACCTAAATGTGACAAAACAGACAAAAACAAAACTTAACATATTTTGATACATACTTTCAATTTTATAATGGAAAAATTGCCTTCATATTATTAAAAAGTATAGACGGCTTCATTTAATATTAATAAAATACTAAATTTTTTTTCAAGATGTTAAAATTTTCACATTGGGTCCTTCTCAAGTCAAATAGTCATATTATAATCAGGAAGCTTGCATTAAAGCCTCTCACATATAAATAGTTGGCGAGTCAGCTGATTTCCATTTACGCAATCCAAGAAAACAGCTGATTTGCTAATCAGCTGATTTTCCTGTTATATATTAATGAGGCCTTAAATATTTCCTTCAATATCTTAAAATTTAATAGTTTTTTTTCAATTAAAATCCGAATTTTATAATAAAATATTGCAAATTATAAAGATAATGCTTTCGATGAAGCCTTTCATATTCAAGTAGTTGGCGAATCAGTTGGTTTCCATTGAAGCAATCCAAGGAAACAGCTGATTCGCAAATCTGCTGACTGCAGTGTAAAATAATAGTCAGGAAAATTGGTCAATGGAAGAACAATGCTACGAAACACAAATTCCCGAATAAATACACACTTCCAATATAGATATTTTTTCTAGGAACTCTCATATAATATGACTCATTTTCTTTCAATAAAATCTAAAATATTTATCACACATATTTCTGCTATCGAAAAAAATATTGGCATGAACACATTAAAATTTCCCCAACAACAATAAAATTGAAAATATCCCTTCCTTTAATAAACATTATTGGCACAAAACAACAACGAAAAAAAAAAATTACAAAATCAATTTCAATTATTTAAAGCAAATGAATGACTCAATTAAAATCAAGGTAATAAAATTCAAAATAATAAAAAAATACAAAATATTTTTTTAGGAATAGTCTCATTGTCTTTATGGTCAGCATTTTAAATAAAACCATAGAGCTATGAAAAATAATTCAATTACGTTTAATGGCAACTCAAAATGAATGGATGGATGGGGGAATTTTTTACAAATGACAAAAAAAAATAATTTAACCTTCCGTTACCTTTAAACAACAAATTGAAAATTGCTACCACTGTTGAAATGACAAAAACAAAATAAATAAATAAATACCACAACAAAAAGCGATAAAGACATCAACAAATAAATACAACGGCAATAAAAATGTGCCACAATAACAAGAAAAAACAAAATGGTTGTGCGCATGAGCACTATAATCAACATCATCGCTTAACACACATCCACACAACCATACACTTAGCTCACTGAGTGAGCTCAGCAACAAATAAAATTTGTATTTTTTTTTTGTACACACTTTTTTATGCAAATTAATCGAATCGAATATATATAGCGTTTTATTGTTATTGTTGTTGTTGCCGTTTATTTTTTCATTAATAAGAAACCAACAACAACAACATCAACAAAACTTACTTTGAATAAACGGTCAAATGTATGGTTGGTTGATTTTTGCTTCAACGTTAAGCAATGGATGGATGGATGACACCAGCAGTATTTAGCACTTAAAAAAAACAACAACTGTACAGTCTTCAATGTGTATATACGATTTTTATGACTATATATATTAGGTTGGATCCTTTCATTTTTTACAATTCTTTCAACAAATTCTCTCTAAATATAAAATAACATTTAGAGTCCATTAATTTGCTTGAAAATAGGTTTATTTGCCTAAAGGTATGTAATATTTGACCTTTACCCTATACTATGTTACCCTTCATTTATTAAATTAATAAAAAATAATGATTGTATTCAAATTCCACAAGTTATTGGCCTATTTTCATTCTTAATGACACAAAATTATAATTTGCCTAAAAGTATGCAACACTTTTTGGGCAAACTGATTTAAACTACATTTAATCAAAGAATTGGCTAAAATGAAGCTTTTATCGGTCCGTAACTCATTTCAAGGGATTATTAAGAGGATCATCACTTTAATATAGCATCCATACCCTCCCAATGTATAGGTTATACGTTTTCCCCCTCGAATCTAAAGGTTTCCTATATTTCTTAAGTAATTTTCGCTGATTTTCCCTTTAAATAAAAATTTTATTTTTTTTTCAATTACTTTGTTTCTAAAAATTCTCTCAATTTAACGTAGAAGGGCTCTTCAATAATTCCCATAAATAATTCATAAGCAACTGAACCCTCCTTTTTTGTATTAAATCAATGAACAACCTTCCTCTACCCATCATCCCCCTCATTCATGACACCTAAACTTACACCTCACACTACTCTGGCAAGGCACTATGCCATATAAACCAAACAAAAAAAAACTCACAATGAAATGATGATTATTTTTATTGAATTGTCATAAAAAATAACGAACACACACACTAACAAGTGTGGACTTTGATGTGAAACAAAGTAAAGTGCTTGGCAAATTTGTGCTGGATGTTGGGGGCGGCTGCTGACAAGAAGGCAAATAAATGGGAAAAAGTGCAAATGAAGCATATGTGTTACTCCAGGGATTGCCAGGACAATATGAGCCGGGCAGTGGCCAACACCTTAGCTTACTGGGATTTTAGCTTCCATTATTTTGGCCTCAGTCCAAAAGCTGTGAATGAGTGGTGGAAGCAGTCACACTTAACCTCTGTCTGTCCAAAATTGTTTTCATTGGCGTTAAGCTACTGGGCGTTAGCAATAATAAAAATAATCGTAATAATCATAAAAATATGTATGTGTGTGTACTCTCATCCTTTTTTGTATTGAGAAAATTCGAATAAATTTTATGTGTTATTTTTTTAACTTATTATTTATGCCGTCTTTTTCTATTTTTTGTTATGTGGTTTTTGTGTGACCTGCCTTAGGCCAGAATCATAAAAAATACGAAATCCTTTAATTGAATTATAGTAAAAAAATATTGTTATAAGATTTATGATTGGTGGTCAAAAGGGGGTTTAGAAAAAGAAAATCATGAAATAATTGATGTAAAGCCAATTCTATTAGTTAAAACAAAATGGGCCAAGTTAAGGTCAAAAATAAATTGTGAGATCTATTCCAACATAACTCAAAATTTTTGATTGAAATTTCTATTTTTATTTTGTACCATAAATTTAATTTTATATTTGTCTCTCTCTCCCCGTTGTAGGTGCAGCCATAAGACGCAGCCCCGCCGTTGATTTATTCGAACAACATCAGGGTACCCACATATTACAGGTAAGCAGTTGGATACCTTTTTTCTCTCTTTCCCATTGAAATGCAAATTTCCAAGAAGTTTTACAAAAATAACAACAACTAATAATAATCTTTACATTTCCTTTAGTCTTTGGATGGCTTTGCCTTGGCCGTTGCTGCTGATGGCCGTTTCCTGTATATTTCGGAAACGGTATCCATATATTTGGGTTTGTCACAAGTCGAAATGACTGGCAGCAGTATATTTGATTACATACATCAAGGTGACCATGCTGAAATTGCTGAACAATTGGGTCTGAGTTTAACATCGGGTGGTATAAATGGTACAGGATCATCAGCGGGTGCGGGTGGCATGTCATCGCCACACTCAGGTGGTTCGGATGATGGCATTGGTTCACATGGTACCAATAATCCAGATGGTAAGTTTATTTTTTTAATCGCATAGTCTGGAAAAATATATTTAAGTTAATTTCTCTTTTTTATTTTAGTTTCCGGTCAAATGACCATGAACTCAAATAGCGGCTACAAAGGTTTCGAACGTTCATTTTGTGTACGCATGAAATCCACCTTAACCAAAAGAGGCTGTCATTTTAAATCTTCCGGTTATAGGGTAAGTTGTAAAGGAATTACTTTCTAGGAGTAAAGGCTTTGAAACAAAAGCTTCAAAGTGTAGTATGTAGTTATTTTTGTAGTTGTACTTGTAATTATTATTTTTATTTTTGTTGTAGTTTAGTATTTCTTTTGTTTTTTATAGATTTTGTTCAACCTTCTTTTCTGTTCATTAACCCTCCCTCATGACAAGTAAAGAAAAAATAACACTCAATAAAAATCGAAAAAAAACTCAAACTAAGTTATCCATCTTAAACCCTCTCCCTTTTCCCCTTCATTATCTGCAGGCTAATGACCAAACGGCCAGTGGTGGTAAAAATGGTAAAAACATGGGCACCAATTATTCGGTACGTATCAATCAAAATCAGTACAAAGAATCGAAATCGTTAGTAGAACTCTATTCGAAACAAAATTATCAACAATAATTTTTTTTCTTGTTTTTAATTTCCTTTTTTGTTTTTGTAATAAAAATTTTTTCCAAAATCAAACAAAAAATTAACCTACGAATTTTGTTTTCCAATTATTAATCTTGTTTTTATTTTTGTTTTTTTTTCAAAATTTTACTAACCAAATTTTGTTATAACGACTTGAAGAAAACTTAACTGATTTTATTGATCAGTATCGAAATGTTCACGATTTTTGTCATAACTACATGCATTTACACATTCATACTGCAAATATTCATCAATCTAAAAACATATTGTCATTTTAGTTGTATTATTTTTAGAATGTTGTACAAATATTTTTAAAGTATATTATTAATATTTAAATATATTTTATAAAGGTCAATTAGGAAAATTTTAATTATTTTCAAATACAAATCCAAAATATATTTTTTTTGAAAAAAATTAAAATTCCTAACATTAAAATACACAGCCAAAATATCTATAAAGCATTACTATGATAAACAAAATTTCAGCATTGCCATCAAGCTGATTTAGGGATCTAAAAATCGATAGCTGCCATAGTTGTAAGTATGGCACAATAAATAGGTAGTTCATTTAAAGCAGATGGTGTTTCCATTAACTGTCAAAGTGCGTAATTTCTACTTGAATTCGATGTGAAATGTTGCCAACCATGTGAAATATTATAAAAAAAAATTAGATGGTCGAGACAAAAACAAAGGTTTTTGTTTTGACACATCACGTTGATATATGATCGGTTCATAGTTGTTATATGATCGGTTCCAAAACTTTTGTTTAGGGAGTTTTTAATTGGTCTTTTATAAATTTAAATGAGAGATTGCAACTATTAATAAATGAAAGTGCAGAGGTATACCGTGGTTCGACCTATTTCCCCATTTTGAAGCATCTCCTTGCGCATATTTGTGGGGAGTTCCTTTATCTGACAAAATAACATTTCTATAACGTAATAATAATAAGTTATACTCTATTATAATTGGGTATATGGAAGATGTCCTAGTGTTTCATGGCGCAATCATATCTGGTAACGGTTTTTTCTCACTTATGGCATGGTGCCCAACCTAAAGATTTGATTTTTTGGGCGACAAATGAGGGCATTTCTGCTAAAAATAATTTTCTTCGGTTTGAATACCAACATTTTTTGTAGCAATATCAAATGTCTGCTAAATATATCTATCTAAAATAATCCCTCAATGAATAGCACGACAAACGCCCACTGGTGTTTTCTAGGGTGACCAACAGACTGGACCTATACCCACTCCACCCGGTCGTCCTACGATATTCAATACATCCCACTTCATGCACATCCCCAAATGACTTCTACGGGTGCCTTTACCAATTTGGTATCCACCTATGTGAACTTATCATCGCAGTCCCATTGACTATCACAATGCCATGACACCGCCCAGCTCGGTATCACCACGTGATTCCAAAAACTCCTCGAATGGCGAACTGAATAAGTATCCCAGCAGCATTTTTTAATATCAAATTGAAAATGCCAACTTTGATTTTCCCTGATAACATTTTTCATAGAATTGCTAGAGAATGGCGCCCAACATATATATCCTTTACATATTATATAATTTACGATTTTTAATTACATGTGTACGATTAAAAAACAACTGTTACCATATATTTTAAATTCTGTACATAATTTTAATATATACTAAATTGATAGTTGATTTTAGGAAAATAATTTTAAAAATTAAATTAGGGAAAACTCTCAAATATTGTTCAAATAAGTTATTGCATTTATAGCAATAAAACCCTGCTAAGAATCTTAACCCCAAGAGTGCATTATATTTTAATTTCTTTCCAATAATTTTCTAATAAAAAAATTATTTTTTTATATTTTTTCTTATTTTTATACCATTTTTATTTCAATAACCAAAAAAAGAACTCCAACTAATTTCCCTCCTCTCGTTATTTTCTCTACTTAAAGGTTGTACTATTATTGTGTAAACTACGACCGCAATATACATTTTCCCACACAAGAAAATCTCAACCCCCACTATTAGGTATGGTCGCCTTGGCCATAGCGCTGCCACCACCATCTGTGCATGAAATACGCTTAGAATGCGATATGTTTGTGACAAGACTTAATTTTGATTTTCGCATTGCCCACTGTGAGCCAAGGTAAGTTTTCCTGGATATTTGTCATGATAATTGTTTTTGCGAAAACTAATTGTGATTTATGTCTTTTGCTTTCTTGCAGAATATCCGATTTGTTGGATTACTCCCCGGAAGAAATGGTGGGCAAAAGTATGTATGCCCTGTGCCATGCTGAAGATGCCAATCGTATGCGAAAACATCACACAGATTGTAAGTATTTTATTGCGAATTTAAATTATTTATTAACGGTTTTAAAATGAACAAAAAATGCTTACATTCATTTAAATTTCTCTTCATTTCAGTAATTGAAAAAGGCCAAGTCCTCACCGGCTATTATCGGCTAATGAACAAAAGTGGAGGCTATACCTGGATGCAAAGTTGTGCCACCGTCGTGTGCAACTCCAAAAATGCCGAAGAACAAAACATCATCTGTGTCAACTATGTGATCAGTAATCGTGAAAATGAAAACCTAATTTTGGATTGTTGCCAATTGGAGCCGAGTATTGATAACATCAAACACGAAGATCTATCAAGTTTGGATAAAAGTTCAGGTTCACCCAGTGGTGATCCATCATCAAGTGCAATGGATAATGCTGGTAGTCTTAATGGTCTGACGGGAGCAGAAACTAAATTGGCATCGCCAAAAACTGAACCCGATAGCCAACAACAACAGCAGCAACAACAACGATCCCGAGGACGTAACGCCAATAATGCATCAAACAATAATTTGAATTTAATTAAAGATAGTCCCAGTACACCAACTGTTGTGGGCACTTTGGATGATGGTTCCGTTAATAATTTACCCACCACAGTTGCGCAAGCACCCACACCGGCACCCGCAACAACAACAAAACGTAAACGTAAGAGCAAAGTAGTACCGCAACAGACAGATGTGGATGCAAGCAATGTCACCGTTGATCCGGTGATTAGTGAACCAAATGCCAAAGTTCCTGCTTTAGATCGTGATACTCCACGTAGTAGACTACCATCGATCATAGATGATAGCCAGCAGCAGCAGCAACAACAACAGCAGCAGCACCAACAACAACAACAGCCACCAACTCAACCGCCTCCAATACAAAATGCTGAATCATCCGTTAAGGATTTGGAACAAGCCATGTCAAAACATCTGCCTTCGCCCGGCAGTGCGGCTGGTAATCCTGTGACCAATACCACCGATTTCAGTACGGATTCTCTGCTCAAACAACAACAGCAACAAAATGACAAAAACAGTACCATTCAATGGATTGGAGCACCGCACTATCAACAACCAGCACCACCAATGCCAGCCACAGCTTTGCTACGGCAGATCTATGCAAATCGTGAAAGTGTCATAAGGGCCACAGCGCGGCAAACGCCTACCGGTGTATTCTATGGTGACCAACAGACTGGACCCCTACCCACACCACCCGGCAGTGAGTCGTCCTATGATAATCAATACATCCAACTACATGCACATCCCCAAAAGACTTCTACGGATGCCTTTACCAACCTGGTGTCCACCTACGGAACTTATCATCACAGTTCCATCGACTATCACAATGCCATGACACCGCCCAGCTCGGTATCACCACGTGATTCAAATAACTCTTTGAATGCTGGAAAACCTCCTTCATCGGCGACAACACTGACCACTCTAAACGGTAGCTATGAATATGTTGATCCACTGAAATCGCAATATCCATCGACTAGTACCAGTGCAAGTGATGTTTCGTCACCACTTCCGCTTAAACCTCAACCCTACTCGGCAACAGCTGCAATGCATCACACCAGTACTACGGCTGATGCCACAAGTGGCTTGACCTATAGTAATTTGGATCAGCAGCAATATTTTGCACCGCATTCCAGTTTTCATTTATATCATAAGGGAGCTCCGACAAGTGGTTGGTATTCAACACCCTCATAGGTCGACCTCAACAATCAAAATTATGATGTAACGTCAACATTGATGGATTCATGTGGAACGTCGTCATCTTCGGTAACAGCTACATCACCGTCAGCAGCATCGGCATCATTGTGGCATCAGAGTTATTTACCAACATCGTCAATGGGTGGTGGTAATGTTGGTAGTAGTGGCAGTTTTGTGGGTGGCAAAAATGGTTGGGATATTGTGGGTACATTGGGTAAGGTAGCGAGAATGTTTTTCAATGTCCGTAAGGGAAATTGAAGTGAATGTAGCTCTTATTTTTAATTTTCGAAAATAGGAAGGGCCTAAAGAAGGTTCGAAATGTAAAAAAAATCTATTGACCCTCGTTGGGCGCCATTATCAATTTTCAAAAAAAAAAACTAATGCAATAATCCTGGAGGCCAACACTGGCTTCTCCTCTACCATTAGAATAACAACTTCCATAGCAACATGTACTTTCACATTGCTACCCAAATTGGGCGCCATTTTATATCTACAGTACTCATGATCCATAATCACGTCGTAAAGTTAATCGAAATTTATAAAATATTTATTTAATATAGGCTGCTTGATATTCCATCTAATTTGACGTTTTAGGTCACCACAGATATCAACACATAACTGTCAATTATATCAACTCTGAGTATGATTGACAATAGAAATAAAGCTTTGGCATGTAAATATATAAACTAATAATATCATTTAGAAATTGTGAGTTGCAAACCAAACCTTGATTGAATAATTCCGCATTACCAACAGCATTATTGTTCGGTAAATTGTTGCCAATGTTGTCATATCTTTATTGCACAATTGCATTGGTAATTCAACTAAAAATCGGTTTGTGGGTCGTAATCAAAACACAAATAAGCATTAAAAATTAATATCTCAAATAAACATACATTTTGAGAAAGCCACATTTTTTCATAATTATTATAAAAATTTGTATATTTTTTTCATTTTGTGAATGGTAGAATGTTAAAACATTAAATGTTGTTAAATAATTGTTAAGATTTGTAAATTAAAAATAAAAAAAACAAAAGAAGCAGTGAAACAAAAATCAAACTAAAACCATTATCCTAAATAAATACTCATACAATTCTCGCCATTCAACGAGATTTAGGTTATAAAGAGAAATATAAAATATATACTTAATTAATATTAATTAAATTTAAGCAACCCACACCCAGATATACTCAAAGTAATATTGTAATTTTTGCATTCAAAAAAACAAAGCTTAAAATTAATTAAAAACAAACACATAAGATATGTTGTATGTATATTCCCCAAAAGAAAACCAACTTCCAAGACTTAGATAGTGTGCCAATAATTTAAAACAAAACAAAAAATAATTAAAAATATAAAACAACATTTTATTTTTATTTAAAAATTTACTGTTTCTTTAAATCCTTTTTTTTATTATTTTGTATAATTAAATTCATATTTTTTAAACAACATATCAAATGCTTCCTGTTTTAAATTAAGAATTAATTAGAATAAATCTCACATTTTTACAATAACACAAACGAACATTTATTAAAATTCTTTAAGTAATTATATATATTTTTTTGTTAAGCTAATTGTTTTCTTCTTCTTGATGTAATTTTCTATTCCAAAATGCTTTAAGTTTCTAAATCATTATTATTCTTGTTTTACAAATTTATTTTTTGTTAATAGTTTAATTAGCAATTTTTATAAGATTTTATTAAATAATTCTTTGTCAATAGTTGCAAATTGTATATTTAAATAACAATCAATATTATATATAAAACAAAAATATAGATCACACAATTTTAACGATAAGAATGAAGTTTTGCTAAAATATTTAATGTTCGCTATTTTCAAAATATTACAAAACAAAATTATTTAAATAATAGCACTATAGTTATTATCTAAATACACAAAAATATAAAAGAAAACACTATAATAAATATTATCATAAATTAAAATTACAGCATTGTTTTATTTATCAACTTGGGAAGATTGGGAAGAAATAAGCACATTTCTGGGATTTGTATGACCAACATTTTTTTCAAGATAGTTCCCATAATGCAGCACCTCCTATATTTCGGTATTTTATATAGGGGAGAGGGGGCATCTTTCAACGTGGGACACCTTTGAACAGCGCTCATATAATCTCGGTTTAAAATATCTCTGACCCGCAACTACTTTTTTGTATATGGCAATCTTATTGTCTATCTGTGTAAACCACTTTGGCTAGCTTTTTCAGTTGTTGACAAAATGTACAAGGGTGACCATGTATTCGCTTTGCCATTGTAAACTTCTATTCTTTTGAATGTAAGAGCGCAGGAAGAATTCAGTGATATTTTTCTTTCGTTAAACATTTTTTTTTTGCATTCCAACAATCATTTCAAACATAACTAAAGTATTTTCTTTCATATATATTTCCTACAAAACAGTTATTATAAATTTCTGTAAAATGCCACAGGTGGACCACCTTTGAACATGTCCAGTAAACTCCAGTAAAAAACGCATTTTTTAACAATTGTCTTCGTTTTCTCAATATTTCAAATGGGCCAATAAGATTACGAAATTAACTGCATTTTTTACCATATTAATTTTTGTTTTTATGTCATTTTATGTTTTAGTTCATTTTGATCTGAATTTTTTAATTTTGGAACATTTTTGTATTATTTTTTAATAAATAAATGCATTTCTGATATGTATGAATAAAATACACATGTATTTGAACATTAACACTGTAAAAAACCTTGCCGTTCAAAAATACAAAGCCTTAACACTTTGACTTCGTCCATTAAAACAGTAATAAACCAGTAAGGAAAGTAGTAAAGACGGAGCCCTTCACCACTCGGACGCACAGTGGGAAAAAATACCGATCTAGCGCCCAGAAAATAAAAAAATGAAGTTGAAGGAAACTTTAAAACATCAAAAATCATTAATAATATAAAATTGCGATGGTCGTGTGCATTCTGTGAATATATTATTATAAAATTTTGTCCATTTTTGATATATAGTGTTGGTATTTAATTAAATGGAATAGTTATATAACCCATAAGTTATTTTAATTTAGGCGTTTGGGTCTGAATATATGTAAGGTCCGTTTTTTTTTAATTCCTTCAATTAAAATAGGGGTTTAGTATGTAGTGCAGTCGAGTTCAGCGTTGATTTTTGTTTTATTTTTCTTGTGTGTCTGTCTAGAACATCATACTAAATTTTTTCCTGCGACTTCCTGCGACTCTCGGATTTATGGCAATTTTTTGAAAAAATGCCAATTTCGTGTAGGTAGCTTTTTTAAGGTTTTGTTCAAATAAAATTAAAAAATTGTGAATTTTTTTGATATAATTCATCGAATATGACTTGGAATAGATCACAGCATGGCAGATAAGAAAAAAAACAAGTTCAAAATGTCCATCCTAAGGTTCCAGAGTACTGGGTGTGAGTATGAAAATGAGGGCATTTAAGTAAGCTGATCCAAACGTTGATTTTAAACTCATGCACTGAATATACATTTATTCCAAATGTCTTCTAAGAGTCTTCTAAAATACCGCAGGTAAAAGGTCCACTTTATGAACCCTGAAAAATATCATTGGTGTAACATTCATATATACACGGTTTTACCAACATTTATGGTTTTCGCTATAAGCACATAACACCAAAAGTAATGAACGATTACAACAAAATTTCGTCACTAAAACCAAACATCAACTTATACGAATATGGCCTGTCTACCTTAAATGCAAGGATTCGATGTTTAGAATGTATATTGCACATTTCATACCGACTGGTTTTGAAAAAGTGGAAATTAATAGCTCCGATCGGCCACTTTTCGAAGAAAGGAAGGCACGTATCATTAATGATTTGAAGGAAGAAATGCACATTATTGTTGGCACACCTAAGTCAGTATCCGGAACAACAAACGATGGCAATACTGCTAGGCCAACCTGGCTTTGCATCGTCGATAACTGGTGTTGATGAAAAATTAATTAAAAATTTTAGTATCATCCTTTCAACCATGGCCTGTGGATATGCTATTAACGCAGAGTCTTTTAAAAAACTTACTGAGGAAACATTTATTCTTTTCGTGGAATTATATTCTTGGTTATATATGCCTTCAAGCATACACAAAATATTAGTGCATGGAGCTGATATAATTAAATGTGCAGCTTTGCCCATAGGAATGTTGTCTGAAGAAGCCATGGAATCCAGAAATAAGGACTTTCGGAACTACAGGGAACTGTACACCAGAAAAATTAGTCGTGAGGAAACAATGAGGGATCTTTTCAATAGGTTGCTATTTTCTTCTGATCCAAAAATGTGTTTTGTTTGTCTCGTATCACATATCTTAACCATCGATATAGTGAGCCACTATCTGAAGAAGTCCTTAAACTACTGGAGTATCTAATGCTACCAACTAATTCAGATCAAAACTCGGATTCTGAATGTGATTTGTATTCAATAAGTAACTCCTAATTTTTTTTAAAATATATATAGTTTAATGTTTTAGATATGTAATAGAATAGTGTTTGCCCTTAACTCACTTTTTAGTCAAATGCTTCAAAATAGTAATTTTCACCTAAAAATTTAAGTTTTTTCTAAAAAAAAAAATCGGCGCTTAATGGGTTAATAAAAAAAAATTGCCAAATTTTTTCATAAAATAACTAAAATTGTCCATCTAAATCTATTCTTATCCGAAATATCGATAAACATACAGTAAAACATCTACTTTTATTTTCTGCGCGCAAGATCTGCATTTTTTCCCACAGGTTCTGGTTATGGTCAAGGACAACGCCTATAATTTGCGGTGATGATCAGATAATAATTTTGGGATGAAGTGGACCGAAACTTATTTTTATTGTGTTTTTTCAAGTCGATCTATATGCCACAATTATAAGCAGAATATTACACTGGAGAATGAATCTGGCCAACTAATTTGATGTGCTTTTGTAATGATCTGTCACTATTCATGACAAGAAATATTGCCCATTCTTGGAATAAAGATCTTCAGAAAGTTAGAGTTCCGTGGTAGTTGTGTAGGGTATCATATGGTCGGCCCGTCCGACTATACTGCTCCGCTCACTGGTTATTGTTTAAAAATGTTCATTTCGGAATATATGACGACACAGACTCGCTGAAGTCTGAAATCCGAAAATGGTTTCACAACAGCAGTATCACATCATGGAAGTAATAAATAATCTTACGTGAAATAAATACAATTTTCTCTTGGTAATTCAATTTTATCATAAGTTCATATCAAAATCAAATTTTATTAAATATTCTTATATCCATATATTTTTTTAAATCAAGTTTTTTTATTGCAAATCGATAATATATCTCTTATTTACATTCACTTTCATATGTACTATGCGTAAAACAACATCTGCAACAAATTTATTTTTTATTATGGAATAATCCCAGAGAACTGATTATTATAAATGATACATTCGTCCTTATATCTTTATTGCCTTTGTTTTCCAAAAAATAACAAACTAACTGACCCATAGAAACTCACTGCCGAAGCAAATCTTAAATCTTTAATAAATGACTCAATTTTGACACATATTTGTCTTTTGCTAAAGTGACAGTCCGGCAGACACTATTTGACTTTGCACCCACCCCTTATGCTAACATTCACTGGACATGCAATGCTCATAGTTTATTGTTTGATGACTAAAAAATACGAATGGCAGGATGGTCACATTCGATGATTAACATAAAATACGCATAAAATTGCAATTTGCCACATTTGTTGCGGTCGGTCAATGTAAGGTCATTTTTTATCTTTTCTTTTGGCCAATACATTTTTTTGACTAATGGAAGTGTAATGATGGGGTTTTAAATCTGAATTTTGTATGATTGGCATCTCGTGCAGTATGAGGTATGGACTTTGTGCTGGCTACTGCATAATTTTGTTCACCAAGTTAATTTTTCCAAAGGGATGGACATATATAAATCTAGGTTTACAATAAATATGAAGTTGTGCCAAGTTTGAACCAAACAGGATTTATCATTTACTTTATTTGATATATTTGTTTTAAGACAAAGAATGTAAGTCCAATGTTTGATATAAGCCCAATCAACCAGATATTGTCACTAGTTGCATATTTGTAGCAGCCCTAGTAGTAGATAATGGACTGTGGATACAGCCGTTGGCCGATCTTTTTATTAGTTCTAGGTGGGTAAGAATGCATAGATCCCATGTAACGGCACCTCCCAAAGTAGGGTATCCCATAGATTCCATGTAACGGGAGATTTTTGGTTTATCATCCGATTTTCGATTTTTTTTAAATTGTCTAAATTAGTTTGTAAATTGAGTTTTTTAAATGAGTGTAGGTTTTCCGAACGAATCATTCTTAAAGTTCCCTAAAAAATACTTCGATAAAGTTTATACTAACATATAACACAAATTAAGAACTTGTGCACAAGTTCAGTACAGTCAGAGAACTGACGTTGGAGGTGAACAGGTTAGTCGGAGAGCACAAGCGAAAAAAGTGGCTAGAACATCTGATGTGTTGCAACATCAGTACCGTACTGAGTAAATTGTGGTCAACGGCTAAGTCGCTCTCGAACCCTGGAAGGAAGAATGATCGGACGTCTGTCTCATTTAACGGCGTTGAGGTGATAGATCCGAAGAGGTGCGCGTGTTATTTCAACCGGCAATTTATAAAGCACCACGAGAGTGACCGGGCGAAGAGAAGAGTATTGCGCCGTATACGCTCTCTTCAAGTGGAGGAGGAACCACCACTAAATACGTTGGAGGATGTTGCAAGTGTCATCAGAAACGCGAAATCATCCAAGGCGCTTGGTCCAGATGGAATCTTCATGGTGATGTTGAAGCAGCTTGATGAGCCAAGGAGGGGTAATATCTCCGGAACTGTAAATTGATGACATTTGCGAGAGGCTGAACCACTATTTCGTGGACAACGCAGACTTTTTCCGGTCGAAAAATATCCGCCACTAAGTCAACGGCCACACTGTTTACCACATGGACAGCGGAGGTGCGAATATCTTTGAATGTGCAGGTCGTGGGGGCCACAATTCCGACCACCAATTACCCAAGGGTTCTAGGGGTCACATTCAAGGTTCTGAAATCGCTTGGCGGCAGCACATGGGGAGCTGATAAGGAACATTTGTTAACGACATACACAGCAATAGGCCGGTCAGTGGTAAACTATGCGGCGCTAGTACGTCAACACAACAAGATGTTGTCGATGCAATACCTGCATGTGTGTTATAGGAGTAGCCTCCAAACCGTTATATAATGGATAGGAACCCACCACCTAGGCATGTCAGGAAGGATATCCATGATCCGGAGAGAGAGGTACAAAGGGAGCCTCTAGATCAACAGGCTTATCAAGCAGGATTGAATTGTATTCACACGGATGCAGTTGAGGAAGCAATTCGAGAATATCGTGTGAATACCATCCTCGGATATCACTCGCGTACGATAGCTGCAGAATAGCAGCAGCTACAAACCAGAGTGGCACAACTAAGATCTGGATGGTTTAGCCGCCTCAATTGATGGAGAAGTCGACAATATCTGCCCGGCATGTAGTAATGGACCACGTGACACGCTACACCCATTCAACCCTTGGAGTTAGAAGCAGAGCTATATTAAGAAGAAATACACAGCAGTACAAGATGCTACAACAACAACCAATTAAGAAATTTCATTAAACCGACTTAACCCAGAAACATGAATTTACTGTGATTGGTACTCAACTTGACATGTTCCCAAATAGCGGAGGATCAAAACGGACTCGTGCTGAGCGTACCTTAAGACTTTTTACTTGCTATTTTTAAAAGCATAGTTTCATTCTTTCATTCTCCTCTTAAGGAATTGAGATAGACAATATACAGTAGACCACGAGTATAAGAACATCCAAAAAAAATCGAGAAATTGCTTTCTTATATTAATGTATTTTAAACAGGGACCGTAACGGTTATAAGTTATATCAAATCAGGTAAAAAATAACTGTTATTTTGTGGCCTAAATAAAAAAATCCACTTTAATTATTTAATTTTTAACAGAAAAAATAAACGTTGATTTTCAACTGTTAAAAATGATTGTTATTTTTTTCGTCAAAAATAAAAGTCTTTTTGGGATTTTTATTTTTTCCGTCAAAAATAAAAGTCTTTTTTGGGAAATAAAACTCTTTTTAGGTAAATGAACATATAGAGTTTGGTAACAGTTATATAACCCTTGACCTAATAGTCATGGGAATGATTCTTTAATTAATATTCATGATTTGGTATACTAGACTATTTTTTAAAATGTTACAACAAATATTTTTTACCTATGATCTTGATTACTAATGTGTACACTTATTGTAATAAGGATAGTGATTTATAAATTGTAATTTTATAACTGATTACAAGTTGTATAAGCTTCTTTACGTAAAAAGACATTTATTTTTGACGGAAAAAATAAAAATCCCAAAAAGATTTTTTTTGACGGAAAAAATAAAAATCCCAAAAAGATTTTTATTGACGGAAAAAATAAAAATCCCAAAAAGACTTTTATTTTTGACGGAAAAAAATAAAAATACAAAAAAAAACTTTAATTTTTGACGGAAAAAATAAAAATTCCTAAAAGAGTTTTATTTTTAACGGAAAAAATAACAATCATTTTTAACAGTTAAAAATCGACGTTTATTTTTTCTGTTGAATAATAATCCTTAACATGGGAACTGAAAGTGTAAAGTGTAAAGATCACTCAATACCCTTAATGGGCTCCTTAATACGAAAATGGGCTCCTTAATAAAATGCGAAGAAAAAAATCTTCATGTTAAAGACATGGGAACCTATAGTGTCATATACCAATAGATTATATGACACTATAGGTTCCCATGTCTTTAACATGAAGATTTTTTCTTCGCATTTTAAAAAATAACTGTTATTTTCGGTCCCTGATTTTAAATAGTTAACTGTTTTCTTATATGGGTGAAACGTGTTCTTATGTTCGTGTTTTTTGTTACATAAGATGTTTTTATATCCTTGGGCTACTGTAATTAAAATCATTAATGCATTTTACCTAACAACAAAGTACGAAACTCTTATAAAAATAAATAAGAAACACTATTTTTAATTAAAATAGACTTGACACAGAAATTGTATTTTATTATTTAATCGTATTTAAAAATAAAATTTTAATTAGGACATTGTACTGTTAGTTCAGCCAGAGTTTCTTGAAGTTTGGCATATTTCTGTTGTAGTTCCTTTTCACGTTCCATTTGACGACGTACATCTTCTTGTAATGACTGAAATATTCGATAAACATTATTAAATGCAATGAAAAAACGCTAACAATGAGCATTACATACCTCTAACCGCCTGGGTATAGCCACGGATTCTTGTTCAGCCAAAAATTTGAATGTGGACAATGCTGTAGTGTTTTGTTCAATTTGTTCATAGGTGTCTTGGAGTTGTTTAATCAGTGCTTGTGCTCTAGCTTGGTAACCACCAGTTAAAATTTTTAATTTCTTTTCGATTTTACCACAACGTTTGGCTTCCTTAGCCATGTGGCGACGATTTTGTTCCAGGCGTCTTTCAGCCGATTCAAGACGGTCTTTTTTACTGGCCAAATTGGCTCGAGTGTAACGATTTTGTGAGGGCAAATACAAAACTTGTCCCAAACATTCTTCCCACACTTGTGAATAAACATCTAGTGGTAGATCACCATGTCCCATACCCTCCTTTACGACTTTCATTTCTTCGGCCAACATTTCTTTAGCCTTTTCCAAATCATTTTGAGAAACGTCTTCATATGGATTTGCTTTGAAATAGCTTTGTAGTTGATCCATTTTGGCTTGTGACTGACCGGGAACAGGATCTTTAGTGGAGTCATACAGTAACATGGTGATCATTTCGTGTTTTATCAATTCTTCAGCCTTCTGGAGTTCTGTAAGATTTTGCTTATCTGTGGGAGGGCGTAATATTTTAGTATTGACTTCAGTAGGTCGTGGTAAGGCCCGTTGGATAACTTGTGACCTCTTCTCCAATTCACGTTTACGTTTTGCTTCTTGCTCCGCTACAATGCGGGCGTCTACATCTGCTTGATCTTCAACCATAGCAACTTCATCGGATGTTTCAGTTGCAGCAATATCGTTGCTGTCATCAGGCACAACAATTTCATAGTCGTTACGGGGAGCTGGAAGTGTAGCCAAACCTTCTCGAAGAGTATGCTTAAGTTGTTTTTGAAAGTTTTTGTATAGAGCCGGTGTTTCACCAACATTAATATTCTCCTCGGGATTAATGCTTAGCTTGTCTCTAACTAAAGCCACCGTTTGAGAACCATCGCCGCCTCGTGGTGTTTTGCCAACGGGTACCAATGCCGATGACATGGGTGTTGCGAAACCACCAGGAGTGGCATTTTCCTGTCCACGTTGTGTCCTATAAAATTGCATATCGTTTAGAATATAATTATGAAATTGAAAGTAATTTTACATACCTAAACGGGGTAGCTATAACAGTATTTGGGGTGGCCATAGCAGAAGATTTCGGTAATGTTCCGGAGAAGTCAGACTCATAGAGTGGAGTATTTACTCCACCTTTTAATGGTGTTTCAACGTGTGTCAGCGCCATTATATTTTGTGCCTCCTGCATAATACGATCAGTGTATGGAGCTGGGGTTCTGGGTGTTGCAGCCACTTGTGGTGTTATAGAGTAGTCTGTCAACAATGCATCAGTTGTCTCAATGCCACTTTCGCTGGCCACTTCTTTGGCAATTTCACTAGCACGTCCAAGCTTTACAACCTGCTGCAATTCCTGATCCGAAATTTGGGGTTGTGGCAGTACAAGTTTGGAACGTTTACGTTCAGGTTCCAAATTTTGCAACATTGCTGTTGGCACATCGTTTTCTTTGCGTTGTTTCAACTTCTGTTTATCCTTTTTGCGCTCACGTTCTTCCTTTTCAGAACGCAGCTCACCATCCAAATCTTGTTGCCGCATTTTATTGAAATCTGGTTCAGTTTTATCGATATGTTCCTCAGATGTGTCATAAAAGCCCAAAGCAGGTCTTTTCTCAAAGGGAATTTCTGCATTGTAATCTATACCCTTAATGCGTTTGGGTCGACCACTACCAATACCAGCTGCACGAAGTTCACGACGTTTCTGTAAAGCAGCCAAACGACGAGCTTCCTCCAATTGTTTTTCACGTGCCTTACGTTTTGCTTTTTTGCCTTGTGTGTTGGCTAAACGAGCTCTAGCTTCCGACAGCATTTCCAATTCTGTAAAATTTGATAAAATTGAAATACAAATTAAAAAATCTATTTCAAATACTTACCATCTTCGTCCATATCCTTTGGATCTGGCCTGGCAGGTTTAGTTTCAGGATTGGGGTCAATTTCACCGGGTTTCAATTTTCGCGGATCGTCTGCAACTTCCTCGCCATCTTCTTTGCGTTGAGCTTGATCCCTACAGAGGAGAAATAGTAGTAAATTTTTTAACTTAGGATTTTAGTTTTCCATGAATATAGCTTACAGCAAATATTCGTAACGTTCCAAACATTGAGCCGCAGTACGGCCTATAATGGGAGCTATTGTCCTCCACTGTGTTGGCATCAATTTGGCCAAATGCAATAACTTCTCATCTTCTTCGCGAGACCACTCCGTCTTCTTAATACTAGGATCCAGCCATTCATACCAACGTGCCTTACATTGTTTGGCACTCTTTCGATGGAGCAATGAGGCAATTCGTGACCATTGGTTTTTGCCATATTTCATTACTGCGGCTTTAAGGATTTCATCCTGTTGGGAAGAGTGTTTATTTAATATAGTGTTTCAAAATGGAATATTTGAGTGACTTCTTACCTCGGTGTTCCGCCAAACACCTCCTTTTATCATTATACGTGGCATTTTCGCGTTTTTTGTTTATTTTTTATGTTAAAATGTAATTTTATTTAATTTTGTAAATGAAACGTTTATAAACAACAATCACATTTCTCTCACCGGCAGTGAACTGTTCATTGCAAGGAACGTGTGAACTAGTTCAATTCATGTTATACACTGACACTGCTTTATCGGCATATATTTTGATATAATTGTTAATTAAAACGGGATTTCACAAATAAATTTATTACCATCAAGTTATTATTTTATGAAAGGGAAAAATACGCTATGCCCTACTAATTAGGCCACCATCTGATTACAAATTTTCCCCAGAAGAAACAAACATTCACTCACCTGGGGGTGTTGAAATAAAATAAAACGGCATGTACACTAGAACTTTTTCACCAGGTTAACCTACTTTATGAGGATTTATTTGACATATATGCAAAGGAATTGGCAATTGAAACCCACTGGGTTAACGAAATCCGGTTAAATGTAAACGTACTATAAGTCCTGATTTATATTAGGCGAGTTTACTTGCGGCAATTTTTATCGTTCTCTTTTGAACTTGCTTAATTTGTCTATACGAGGCAATTCGATTTTAAAAAAATATTTTTTTTTTGACAATGTTCTGGATTGGTATTTTAAATTACTGACACTACAAACAAAATTCACAAAACGAATTGCCAGAAAATTGTCGGTACGAGCAATTTTTTCAAGTTCTATTCCCCTTGCCCCTCTCTCCTTCAAACAAAGACTTGCCGCAATTAAACTCGCCAAATATAAATTGGGACTAAATACAATTTTCATTCAAAATACGATTTTTTCTGATATTAAAAACAATTTTAGTAATTTTTTATGAAGAGAGACACTAGCATTGTTACTACAATAACAATTTTTCCTTTATGATTTGGAGAAAAATAGTCAACTAGATTTTACTACTTTCTTCGATATCATAAAGGAAAATTGGTTATCGTAGTAAAAAGTAGTAGATTCTTGCAGTACGTGAACAGACCAAGTGGGATTTAAACTGTTGGCCATCGGCATTCGTTATGAGAGTTGTTTCTCTCACTTATTGGTAATAGAGTTGGAAAACATTGTCACATGTAGGAACAAAAAAGTACGAAAAGATACCGAAAACTTTTCTTCAAATGACAATAAATCATAATTATCGAGAAATATTGGCTAATATTTATACCAGTTATTTTGATAAAAAAATATATGTTATAATTTAAGCGTAAATGTATTCACAAATTATAAAAAAATCTATTTTTTTTGTTTTGGTACGTTTATGTAACATCTTACCTTTGGTGAACAAAAAGTACGCTTGTTACAAAATTAAAAATAGCGCAACGCTAATTACTCTCAATTTACCAATGAGAGAGAAAAAAACTCTCATGACGAATGTCCATGACCGACAGTGTAAAACCCCACTAATAGTGTGTGGGGACCATAAGAATAGTGTTGTATGGACGGGTCTACCTTGATTGTTGAAGTCACGGTGTCGATAAAAGTGTTCATCATACATCGATATCAATTCTATCGCTTTTGTTAATCGTAAAATAAATCAGCTGTTATTCAAAATTTGTTTTGATCTCATTCTAAACATTCTGCAATTTTGCTTTGGTCTGGATTTTTATCCACACTTCCCTTTTATTTGTTTACGAAAATATAACAATTGTGAATTTACTTTCATTATTCTCAGTATTCTCCAGCAAATCTACGCAAAAATTTCCAAAGAATAGATGCACCTTGTAAAGATCATATAAAATTAGTCCCTTAAATTCATAACAAAATGAATGAGTCCAGTTTTTCCATTTACGACAGCTATTTTTGTAATACAAATTATCAGGTAAGCCAAGTAATCCATATTTAACTATTCTAAGTAAATTTCACTATAAACTATTTATAGGCCACATCGATTGATAGTACCTTGATCGACTATGATGTCCAGACACCAAATCATTATTCCAATAATTGTGATTTCCTCACAGCCCAACCCGCTGTGGATCAGAGACATCAATCCAACATGTTTCCATACCTATCACACACACGCGATGAACAGAACAAAATTTCCGATACGGCCACCAATCTATGTGTATCGAATACTTCGGTAGTGCCTGCAGGCTCGGCACAAAATGCATTTGCAAATATACCATTTGTTCAGATCCACACGACAGATGTACAACCACAACGAACAAGTTATGGCAATGTGTTTCGTAGAAATATTAGTCGTCAAGAAGAAATCAAATCCGAGCCAATAAAATCTGAAGGTTCCGATGCATCCAAGGAAAGAACAAATGCAACTCCCACACCGCCAAGAGCTCCATCGGCAACACAAAAAAGCAATAGCACAGATGATAATAAACAAAATCAAAATGATAAAGTGGTGGTTGCGGATGAGGCAAATATGAATGTTGAGGAAAGCCATCACAAGGAAGAGGACCAGTTAGCTAAAGATGGTCCATGTGTTATTTTTAAATGCTCTTTATGTCCGTATATTAGCTTGAGTGAAAATCAAAGAAATGATCATGAACGAGATCAGCATCCAGACAATTCCAAACAACATGAATCCATGCAACGAGATTTGAAGTGTCCAGGTAACATATAAGAAAAACTATTATTTAATTCCAAACAAAATTCCAAACTCGAGACATATGTAAGTTAAGAAGTTTCAATGCGTACATCGAAGCTTTAAATTCTTTCTGAAGGCATAAATACATTTGTTTATTTTTGATTGTGTAAATAAATTATTTTTTGTTGTTCCAGGATGTTCCAATGTATTCTATGTTCAAGAATCTCTTGAAGTGCATTTGCGATTGGACCATATCATGTCAAGAGATGATGCTGTAAAATTAGCACATTCCATTGTTCAAGTAAAAAACAAAGAATCTCAACAAACGTCCAAAGAACCTACCGGAAATTCTACAAGTAGTGAACCTCCGAGAAAAAGTAGAATATATCTGAAAAATGTCGAATGTCTGAGGGAACCAAATCGCCAACCAATTGAACAGACTGAAAATCAAATATTTGCTAATTGTAATACCAGTAATAACAATACCCAAAACAGCAAAGCCTCCAAACAAAAAATTTCCATTAAAAGTGTCGATGTTTTGCGAGAACCTGCTTTGCTGAGAAGAAATTATGATCTGGATAATACAAATTATAATATATTCCCCAACGATAACACAATTAATATACAGCATACAGAGGTTATAACAAACCCAACAGAATCCACATCTTATATAGGCAACGAAAATGAAACGATTCCCCTTAATAGAAACCACAACAATAATGACAACAGCAGTAAATCGAGAAAACCCAAAATATATGTCAAAAGTGTGGAAAGTTTTAATTTAATGCCTCTGGAATATATAGAGAATCAGTCTAATATATTTAATAATGCACAACAAACATATGAATCCAATTCAGCACACATACCCTATATATATGAAGTTGGTACAAATGTAAACGTTCCCTCAAGCAATGACAATATAACATACAATAATAATCATAACGATATGACCAACAACAATTATCAACTGAATATTAATTCCAATGATAATAATTATATAATGGCTAATCCTCTATATGTGGTAAATGTTGATAATATGGAAATGAACAATTGTGGTGGTCATATTGAAAGTGTTACTATTATTACTGATCCTACTCCTCCACCACAGGATGGTTCTACACTAAATGTTGAAGAGCAATTGAATTCTGGGGTAATATAATCTTATATTTTAGTAATTTGTGTTTTAAGATATTTCTATTGTCCCTTTTTAGAATAACAACTTTCCTCCACCTCAAGAACCTCAACGTGGTACATTGCATTTGCGAACTGTGGATGAATTGAATCTAATGAATGAAAATGAATTTCAACATCCAACGAATGTAGACATGAATCATTGCAGTATGGTAGGTATATTTGTCACTAGGAAACACATTTTATATGGGATATATCCACATTTTGAATAAAGTTTTCATCATAACGGAGTTTTGCCAGTATTAATTTAGTAAAAACTGTAATTATTTTTTATTCCAGAATAAAAATTCAATAAATGCAGAACACCGAGGCACATTGCATTTACGCACCGTTGACGAGCTGAATTTAATGAATGAAAATGAAGTACAACATTTAATTGCTCCTAATTTGGATAACAATCACAGTACTGAAGCTGTGGAAAACAACATAAATATGAATGATGATAATCTAATTGGTGACGGACTGTATGATGATTCTGATACATTCAAATTTCAAGATTTAGACAGTCAAATGGCCAACGAATGGCCTGAGACTTATGACGATTTGGCCGAAGATATTAATGGCATAATAACTGACGTTACTAATAATACTGCTTCCAACAATAACAATACTAATAGAGAGGAACACATGACCTTTACTTCTATGGAATCGAATCAAAAGGCATTTTCCAACAGTATGGAAGTGGATAATCCTCAAGTGTCGCTAATTACAATTCGCGATATCGAAGAGTTGACGGGTGGCACTGGTGGTATTCAAGACATTGGACACAATGTCAATTTTGGAAACAATGCCACAACAGATATATCTACTTCGATTTCAAATATCTCTGAACAAATTGATAATATTACTGTGACAAGCGATGCCTGCGAGTCGTCTGATAAAACGGAAAATGCTGAAAATCTTAAGCGGGAATTGAGTAATGCTACACCAGAATCAAAAGATACAACGACATTGAATAATGATTGTGAATCCAATATACCGCTTATAAATGTAGAATCACATAAAGAAGTATCTGCCACAACACAGCCACGATCTCCTCCTGTATTAACAGCTTTGAGTGTTTGCGAAATAAATGCTAGAAGTCCTAAAGTAGCTGCTATTATAAATCACAACACAGATGGTAGTGTAATACCAAACATCGAACAAAATAACATTCCTCATAATTCAATTATGGATCGGAGGCCACATTCACCAAGTCATATGCCTAATGATACTAGTGACAATAACATCACGAAATCTATAATATCTACTGGAAATACCATGAATAAAAATTTAATACCTCCCTTATTAACAGTTACACATGTGTCAACAGCCCAATCGGTATCCACATCACCATTGGGAAATGACATCTCAATACCATCTTTAGCACCGGTTACAAATACCACTATCACCAACAAAGAAGTTGTCCCAACTAAAGTGCCAAGCGCACCGGAAATAAGTTCTTCAGTATCTAAGGATAATATTCCTACAACAACTATAACACCCGTAGAAAAAGGTCGTATATACGTAGCTAATAATTTAATGGAACCACCAAAGAAACCAGTTAGTGTTCGTGGCCGGCCATTTGGATCAAATCGTACTAGAATGGTCTTAGAGTCCACAACAACCAATGATGTATTTGTTAAATGTAATTTCAAAGGTTGTGCTTTTCGTTTTAAAAAGAATGAAACTCTGGAATATCACAAAAAATGTCATGATACAGCTGACACCGCCAATACAAATACCAATCATGTAGCAATCTGTCCAGAGTGCAAATCCACAGAATTCAGTAATTGGAATACATTACACACTCATCTATGGCGAGCTCATCATATCGATATGGAATTGTATAAGTGTGATTTGTGTGACTTCAAGACTCCCATATTTTCGAGACTGGCCAATACACATGCAAAAATTCACTTCGATGATCGTAACTATAAATGTGAACAATGTGGAAAAGGTTTCAAAAATTCTAAACAATTGAAAAACCATCGACGTTGGCATAGGGTACAATTGAATGCCAGCAATTCCTCAGCACCACCTCCCAAAGAGTTACCACAACCAAGTATACATCGATGTCCGGATTGTGGTTCGACCTTTTCACATCAGAAAACATTAAAGGAACATTGTTGCAAGAATAATGAATCGTCAAAGGTGAAATGTGATATTTGCCAAAAGGTGATGAGTACCAAGGCATCTTTGAAACTGCATTTGTTGACGCACAAAGAGGAGAAGCGTTTCAAATGTCTACAGTGTGATTATGCCACAAATGATCACAATGCATTTCGGCGACATCGAATGGGCCATGAAAACAAAAAGATGTATGATTGCCAATTCTGTGATTACAAATCAGTACAAAGTGTGACGTATCAGGTGAGTGAAGATAGTGGGCAATAAAAAAATATATAATTTTATAACATATTCCATTTTGTTTCATTTTCAGAAACACATACGCCACAAACATCCCGACAAGGCGGATACTGTATTGCACAAATGTTCGCATTGTCCATTTACTACGATAAATCGTTCACTACTCATAGTTCATCAAGCCAAACATCATAAGGATACAAATAGTGAAACATCAAAATTAGCCGATGGACCAAAAGACACATTGTCTACTAATACAACAATCGAAAAGTCAGTTGTTTCCAATTCAATAACGGAAGGAGTAACTACGCTGGAAAAACCGATGACAGTACTTGCATCCGAAGTGCAAAAAAGTAAAATTAAAGTGAAAAGTAATCTTTTCACATTACAATAGTGTATATAGAATCATCGCTTGTTCGGGACAGTGCAATTAATAAAGTATTAGTTATGTTTTTTAACTTAATTTTTTTTAAGAAAACATTAACAACATTTTTGTATTTTCTATTAATTTTTCCGAGTTTTCTCGAGGAAGCAAGGTGTATTTAATAAGGTGTATGCATCAGATACAACAACAAATATTTTACAAAAACAACATTGTTGTTTTAGAAATTAAATTGTCATGCTGACAATAAGTTTTTGACTAAAATAAACAAAAACAATTATTAATTTATTTTTGTCAAGATCTATTCTTTGAGGAATAATTAATGAATTTGTGTATTCTTGGGTTATTGGCGGTTTAAATACACCTAGCGGTTTAAATACACCTTGTATATAGGTGTATTTAATAAGGTGGAAGTGACAATTATATGGTTTTAAACTTTTTTCTTTATTGCTTGTAAAGCAGATTGTCAAAAACATTTTCAATATTACATTTCGATTTCAAAAATTGTCTTTAAATTTAGGATTTTTTAGTAATAGAAATTCAAGAAAACTACATTCATGAGGCGGACGGAAAGGAAACCTAGGCTTAAATCAGTTATAACCCCGTTCGCCGAATGGTCCACATATTTTATGTTATGTGTGGAAATCTGTCCATAAATTCATGATACTCATAAAATCGAGGAAATTATATTGGAATTGGCCCCTTGGTGCTTGTCACAATTCTCGGCGAAGGTTAAATACGCCTATGGAAAGATTTTAAACGGTCAACACTATTTCCATGATTTAGTCTTTGGCCGGGGATTTATGTCTTTCAATTTTCTTTAAGAAGGCAAGAATACAACATCACAAGGAGCCTTGGGCTGCATGTGGGAAACTTAAAATTAATCGCGACCAGGTCTTAAACTTTATTTTTCACTGACCTAAACCGCCAATAACCCAAGAATACACAAATTCATTAATTATTCCTCAAAGAATAGTTCTTGACAAAAATAAATTAATAATTGTTTTTGTTTATTTTTATCAAAAACTGGTTGTCAGCATGACAATTTAATTTCTATAAGAACAATGTTGTTTTTGTAAAATATTTGTTGTTGTATCTGATGCATACACCTTATTAAATACACCTTGATTGTATAGCATGTCAATTTAGTCTGATATGGTTCATTATTTCTTTATAATAACCTGAAATAACAGATTACAGCTATTCATTTACACCTACTTGCGTTAGAATTGCAACTTGATTATACCATGGGTATGTCGATTTTTTTTTAAATAAATTCTAGTGTGAGCAATCTATACCCCGAGGAGACGTTGGCTCGTGTTTCGCAACACCGGAAAAGGCCAACTGCCTAAAGATTTATATACACTTTATCCAAAAATGAAGTGATTATCAGAATTTTCTCGAAGCCATAACAGGTGATGAAATCTTCCATTGATCTTGCTCTACTGAGCTCGTTAATAGAGCTCCACCTCTGTTCTGGGACATTTGATATCGATTGAATTTCGACAATCTAAACGTACTTTAACAAATGTCAGCAGAACTAAAACAAACAACTTTGACGGACTTAGTTCCGTGGCTCTTTTCGGTGAATGTATTAATTGAACTTGACCGTTCGTGAATTACATCCAGTACGTGAACATTGGATGGAAATAGCAGAAATAATAATTGTAAAATATTATTAATTAAAGTCGGTACTCCAAGTCATGATATTTCAAAGAATTCACCTGTTACGCCATACAAATGGCCTCAAACAGTTAAATTTACACAGTAAAGTAAGTAGCCTGCACTCTTCATGAAGTCTGAAGATCATCGATGAAATGACATAACCTGAAACGGCAATGAATGAACACTTGTCTTCATCTATATTTTTCTTTGCAGTTTACATCACCCACAGCGTCCGCGTTATATATCAACTCGAGGGATTTGCATGTGGACATTGGTGGAAATAAGAAATGGCAGCGTGCACACACACCCAAGTTACCAATGATGGCTTTGGCCATGCCTACATTAGGTGTCCGGTATGCCAGCGCAGAAGGCGCCAGTGAAACAGCTGGAAAGACTATTGTGAATTTGGCCGATATACCCGCCGCTCCCGCAGTTCCTGAAAATGTAGGCGAATTGGCTGGCCCAGTTCTAAATGCTTTAGGAGAGCCGTCTTTTGCCTCAATTGGTTTGGGAGGATGGTCACCAGTTGGTCTTGTCCAAAATTGTATGGAATTCTTACATGTCACATGGGATTTACCTTGGTGGGGTGCCATTGCAATTGGTACTGTTGTAGTGCGTACCATAATTTTCCCCTTGGTGATTATGGCTCAACGAAATGCTGCCAAAATGAACAACAACATGCCACAAATGCAACTGCTGCAAATGAAAATGACGGAAGCTCGTCAATCCGGCAATGCCATAGATTCTGCCCGTTATGCTCAAGAAATGATGGCATTCATGAAGGAGAAGGAGTTGAACCCCTTAAAGAATCTTCTTGTACCATTGGCTCAAGCACCTCTCTTCATTTCGTTCTTCATGGGTTTGAGAGGAATGGCAAATGCACCAGTTGAATCAATGAGAGAGGGCGGTCTCTTTTGGTTTACCGATCTAACCATTGCCGATCCCACATTTATGTTGCCAGTCATAACAAGTTTAACACTGCTTCTGACTGTGGAAATTGGTACCGATAGTGCAAGGCTATCTGCTCAGAATATGGGCATGATGAAATATGTATTGCGCGCCCTGCCTCTTGCTATTTTTCCCTTCACAATGAATTTCCCAGCAGCTATTTTGACATACTGGGCGTGCAGTAATTTCATTTCATTGGGTCAAGTAAGATGCGAAAAACAATATTTAAGACAGCTCATTAATTCCTGTATTTTTAGGTGGCTATTTTGAAAATACCCGCAGTAAGAGATTTCTTCAAAATCGATAAAATGATTATCCACAAAGCCGAAAACTTGCCAGTTAAGAAAAAGAAGTTTGTTGAAGGCATGAAGGACTGTAAGTTTGTTGGTCATTTCAAATAAAAGTCAGCATAATTCATAATACACTTTTCCCTCCCATACAGCATGGCAAAATATGAAAATTACCAAAGAATTGGAGGAACGTTCACGTTTGGATGAAATTCGATTTGCCAAGGCAGGCCGAGGACCCTTGGTGAAGACCTACAAATATGATCCCACAAAACCACGACCAGCTACGAGCATAGAAGCACAAGCTAAAAAGAGTAGTTAAGACCACAAGATAAGACATTTACCGAAAAATTACTTCTGTAAATACAGAATAAGTTGTTGTATTAAGTTTTTATTAGTAACCAAATAAAAAACAAAATAAACTTTATGATATGCTTCTTAGTAACTATGCTCCTAGAGCCTCTTTTGCGGCTATACATTGATTGATAACCTCCGCCAGATGTTTGTTTTCAAGAGCAGCTGCCACTCGCTCCTTGTCGGCCAATTGTTTGTTAACAGCATTCTCCGACGAATGAGTTCCAGGTGTAATTTCAACAGTTACCTTGAAGCGGGGTGGTAATGAACGCAATAGCTTTACCCTTATCGATAGTCCAATTAATGTAGCCATGGAACAGTGTGGTATTGTCGGGGTGAAGTTTACAAAAATCGTGTTGCCTTTGTCGTCAACTTTGATCAAATCTTCCTGGACAACATGTAGCTCCTCCAATGTAAGGGGATGCTCCGGATCATTAATATTGCGTATTAAATCTATTTAATAAGATAATCATTAGCATTTGATACATATAATATACCACATTTGTCTCACCAAATATTTCCCTCTTGTCAAAGGGATCAACTATGCTTTCATCTTTTTCTTCTTTGGTGATTGCACGTTCTTTTGATTTGCTATAAACATTGGGGTTTAAGTTTTCAATTTCTGTAGGCATTTTGTTAATTAAATTTTATAATAATAAATTAAAATCAAATGTTCTCAAGGAGTACGTTTCTCACACTGCGAATGGAAGTAGACAGCAGGAAAGACAGATAAAAATCAAATTGAAACAAAATGCATGTTTACGAAGAAGAGACGTGAAAGAATGCCAATCAGCTGATACGCTTCAAACATGAACGGTTGGAACTAGTTTCATATCGATAACATAATTGTTGGACGCCTAGCTAATTAATAGCGTAAGCGTTACAGTTTTAGAACCACGAAAGCTGCTACCTTGCAGCTGTTTTAAAGACATTCACAATAAGAAAACGGCATTACCGATATATTGAGTTGGACTGTTATGTCTCAAATTTGAAATTTTGTTGTTGTTTTCAAGGGAATTGGCTGTAATTATATAATTATTATTTGGTCTGTTTCCAAACAGCAAAAATCTATTTGTATCAAAAAGGAAAATTTGTTATCGTATTAAAAAACCAGTAAGGGAAGTTTTCACCACTTTGGATACATACAAGAGATGCTAATATATACACTATCCTGTAGATAAAACAGACATATTATCTTTAGAGGGACATTGGAATGAAACCTGCGATACTAAATGTGAGATATATGAAACAATAAAAAAACATACACATACCATTCTGAAATCTATAAAAAATTTCATGCCAATCAGATTCTTTTGTGTACCATTTGTATAAAATAGTGCAAAATAATGTATGTGGAAATATGTATAAATCTGGACCTAATTGAGCAACTGGGACATATACCATTTGGTATGTCGAAGTACAGTGCGCTGACCACAATTTTATCTCGTGTATATTTAACAGACGTAGCCGAGGAGCCTACGTACTACCATTTACTTAAAATCAGACGATAATATATATGGGAGAAATATCTAAATCTAAACCGATTTTTTAAACTTTAATATACATTACTCTAAACTCACCTCTGCCGAATTTCGTGTAAATCAGTGCACTATTTACATAAAAGCGGATAAAAAATATATGTGAGCTACATATAAATCTGATCAGAATTCAACAAAACTTCGCATACGTCTATCTGGACCTAACTCCGTACATAGCTCAAAATTTTGTCTTAATCGGACAAATATTGGGAGTTTTGTGCACCATTTACATAAAATTGGACGAAACAATATGTGGGAGTTATCTAAATCTGAACCGATTTAAAAAAAAAAAACTCCACAGACATTAAACTGGACTTAATTCAGTACCCTGCGTAGGATTTTGTCTCAATCGGACAATTCTTAATCGACGAAACTATATATGGGAGCTATATCTAAATCTGTGCAAAATTTTGTTTTAATCGGACAAATATTGGGAGTTTGGTGCAATATTTACTAAAAATCAGACGAAACTTTATATTAGATCTGAACCGATTTTTTCCAATTTCAATATGGTGCGTTCATGGACCAAATAAGTGACCTGCGTCAAATTTCATCTAAATCGGATCATATATGCGATCTGTAATTTTTTCACAAGGATACATGGACATAAATCAACTCAGAAAGTGATTCTATACATATTCTCAAAAAGAATCATGTGTCTATCTCGTTTCATGTTACAAACGTATGTACAAATACATAATATCCTATACCACAGTGTGGTGAAGGGTATAATTACAGGCCCTGGAACAGATATTTTAATACTGGCCAATATTTAGACTCATGAGGCAATTGGTATGGTTGGAAAGAAAATTTGTATACCATTAAATATAAATATTTGTTAATGGTTACATATAGCGTCCATATAATGTTACCCGCAAAAATTGCTGCAATGTAGAATTTCCAAAGTCCTGTGGAATTTTAAATTTCAATATCAATATATGTATTGTTTCTTTATATTCCCTATATAAAGAAATGTAAACCCAAGTGCAATTGTTGTCGATTACCCTTTTCATATTTGCAAAGTTTTGCCACTTTTTGAGTACGGGAACATTCCAATTTTTGGTAGTAACCATGGTACAATAGTGAGTTTAATAAAAAAACAACTATGTAGGTGGTGGCTTCTTCGTCAAATATTAAATAAATATATGTACGCAACATGTGGCCAAGGTATATTAATAAGGTAACCGTATCAAGCCAGCTGATGGTAACATTATATGTCACAAAAAATTGTTGTTCTTGAAATCGCCGTCAAAAATAGAAAAACAAAAATTAAACTAAAAATGAAAGAAGACAAATTCTGAAGAAACAAAAAATATAAAATATCACATGAACTACTATAGGAAGACCATTACTATTACACGAGAAGAGCGTTTTGGATTTTTATAAGAATCTATTGTTTTGGACTTTCTATAATGATTGGCGGCGTATTTCACGTAAAAATCCTTTCATTATATACCATATTACAAACAATATCAATAATAGAAGAGCGAAGCGTTAATCTTCAAATGAGACCATCAGAATAGACAACACATATGCTAAGGATATTGATAAAGGAAACCAGAACTACATTCTGGAGTTTTATTGTTAAGCATTGTTAGAGTTCAGTTTGGCATTTTGGTTTTTTATCGAATGCAAATTTCCTTGCAAAACTCTCTATGTTCGATTCCATACAATGATATGTACGTCCCGATTTCAATCATTTGGTTGTAATTTCGAACCTTAGATTTCCACATATATATGTTGTTGTTGTAACAGGTTGGCTGCTGACGAAAGTTCTTTCCTGAAAATGTTGATAGAAGAAAACGGAAGAAGGAAAAGGAAAATATATTTATTAATTAATTAATTAGGAATTCGGATTTGAAGAGGGTAGCCGGAGAAATTGTGCCACCTCTAATGGCTTTAGCCATAAGTCTATGGGCAATAGACTCGTAGGCTCGGACGGACAATTGAATAAATGGTGTGTGTCGTGAGGGCTTTGCTGGCAGGAGGGACACCTGTTTAGGGTTCCGGGGACAATGCGCTCTCGATACGAGTTGAGTACATTGCTGTATCCGGACCTCAACGAAACATATATATGTTGTTTGGTATGCTGAGGTGTTACTGCCACAGAAACATATTCAAAATGGGCCCACGTCTTCGCACCTCCAAAAATGTATTCCTTTTCATCAGTTACTTAACGTTAACGAATAATTTTTATCTTTTATGCTATTTTTTATTCATAAATTTACAATTTGCATAAAAGCACACAAATTTAAATAAGGTAAATAAATATTTTATAAAACTTCAATAATGCTTTGTTCTGATTGGTGGAAAAATAGAAGGCGAATTCATATTTATTCGCCTCGATAACAATTTTGACATATCATGTTCCCAATTCGCCGATGCGGCTACCTTATATATCTACCAAGGTAGATATACAAGGTAGCCGCATCGGCGAATTTCTACAACAAACATCGGTTGTTGTATTTTGATATGTCAAAAATATTTTGCCAAAACAAACAGATTGACAAGATTTTTTTACACAAATTCTTGTAGAAAATATTAATAAAAGTATTGCCAAAAAAGCTCTTCGAAATTCGGAGATTTTCATTCATAATTTTGTTTTTTAATTTTTTGGTTCAACATTACAACAACATTTTTGACATTTATTTGTCCAACAGCTGGGCCGATGCGGCTACCTTATTAAATATACCTTGATATCTACCTTGCATGTGGCAGTGTTTTAGGTTCTAATTGGATAACATTATTAAATGTTGGTAATTTTATGGTTCCTGGACACGTTTTGCAACCGAATTGGCTGTAATTTGATATTTTGGGTTCCATGTTTGCAGGTATCCCCAATTTTTTATATTACAAAAATTGCCTTCAAAAGTGAATGTAATTTACTATTCTTTGTGGCCTGTGGGTTGCAAAATATCCTTGAAAAACATAGTCGACATAGGTCTACTTCTTAGCTATGTTCCTTATATAAAGATCCCAAAAAAATAATTAGCTTAGGACTTAGCGTCTGGTAGTCTTACTAGTTACATCATGCACGTTAGTTTATATTGTGGATATCACTTTGGAAACCTATATACAAATAGTTTTGATTCAGACCATTGATTTTATACTAATTAGATCATGGTATAATAATAGAAGGTAACAGCAAGTGTTGTTGTACAACAAACGATACAACAACCACATGGAAATTTGTTGTTGTAAGTTATACTAGTGTCAACGTCATTTGACAGAAAAATGTAAACAAATAAACAAATTATATTTATTTTGAAAATGTAATATTTTCGAATCATCGAACGAAAATTTGAAAAACATGAATGAAAATCTATCAAATATATATTTCTATCGCTTCCACAACTTTCGTATAATTGAGCCATTGCCATTTATATGTGAAACACATATGGGAATGCTGAGAATTGCGAGTTATTCCATGAAGAAAGATTTGCTTCGTCAAACTTTCCCAGCAGGCAGATTGAGTAAATTGAAAACGGGAGCACATTTAATAAAGAACAATTTCAAATTGTATGCGTTCCTAATTTTCCTGTTGGGTGATTATTAAAAACATAATTTGTCAAATTCATATTGACACTAGTATTACGTTGGAATCAAATCAGCTGGGATTTGCTGTTACCTTTTATAATTGTACCATGTAATTAGATCATTCATAACTGTCTTACAACAATGTCAAAATTCTTCCCCAAGTCACAAATTGACACAAACTCAAAATATGTTTAACCAAATAATAATATTTTATTCATTTATTCATACATACATATGTATATCAATTGTAATTATAATAAAAATATTTATTATAAGATTTAACTTAATTATTATTAATCACATGCAAAAATTTGTTTGTTTTTTATTTTTGTTTGTTTGTTTTAATTAAATATTTTTGCTTTTTTACTGGTTTATTTTGTTGTTGTTTGTTTTTTAATTAATTTTAAAACTATAAAGAGGTTTAACATATATATCATTATTAAATAATAAAAATAAAGTTTTTTTTGTTTGTTTTTCGCTTTAATTTCGACTTTTCTACATTCTGGCCAGTTTTAATGCGAGGCCTTCGTTTCGTATCGAAACAAATAGACATATATTGAAAAAATTTAGTTAAAGTGTCACCCTGTATTTCTTGATTTTAAATAATATTAAAAAAATTAAACTTCAACAAAAAACTAAAACTCCTAACAGTAAATCGATTGCTTAATAGATGATACAAAACGAGGCCATAGACACAAGCCTATATATTTTTAATTTGTTTTTGTTGAAGAAAACAATTGTATTTCTTTGTCACCTTTCTTTATTGTGCAATATTTGTATCCATAATTTTTCTTTACGTTTATTTTTGTATTAATTTGCTACTAACTAAGATTTATTTTGTTTTACTAATAGTAATATTAATTTTAATAATAATAATTTGTTTTTATTTATTAGTAGTTTTAATTTTTTAGGATGTAAGGTAATCAAGACGTAATGTTTTGCCTGCATGGGTTCAAGTTAAGGATGGCCACATACCTGATAAAACATTACGTAACCTAAATACCTCACACTTCTACATTAATTACGTTAATGTTTGTGTTGTTGTTTATTTTTTATTATTATTATTTTTTGTGTATAAATATATAATTTACATTTAAACATTTTACACATATATTTTCTTTATTTCCAAATACATATGTATTTATATTACTTATATTTGTTGTGGTTGTTTTGTGTTTGAATTTTTTATTCATATAGAATGGGGTTTACAGCTCAACTTGGAATTGTAATCCATCAAAGATTTGAGTTCTTCATTCTCAAAAATATATCAAAATGTAAACATGCTATTTGACTTTCACTACGTTTCGGCCGAATTTGAGAAAATATTGAGCTTTGATAAAAATGATACAATATTTTCATTAAAATTAAAAAAATGTGAATATTTTTTATTCTTGAAATGGATCCAGATCTAATGGTTGTTGTTATAGAGCATGAACTTTACAAATTTAGCAAATACTTTTCATTTTTAATATTTTAAAAATTAATTGGCGCAATTGAAAAAATGAGTTCAATTCTTAAATATAATCCCTATTTAAATCTGAATCTTTTGAAAGCATTGGCAAAATAGAAAATATACAATTATTGACCAATAAACAAGATAAACATGAGAAAAACTATTATTGAATTGCACCTAATAGATGAAAGTGTCATACATTGCTCCGTATCTTTATTGTTTATAACAGTTTTACAGTTTAACTCTGTAATATATTTTAGAATATTAGCCGTTATCAATATAAACATCTGTTATTGAATAAATTTTATTCGACATATTCAAAGTATATATCTTTCAAAAGTATACTAGGCATAAATACAAATTCTTAATAGTCAAGTTTTGAAAAAATTGCATTTTTTAAGAATTAAACCATCTTGGAAAGTACTTTTTTCATTTGAGGATCCCTATGTTGTTGTGTTTAGATTTAATGTACAAATTATTTGGTTATTTGCCAATTAAGGGAATTGTTTGCCATTTTATTCAATGAGATGGATGTAAAGCTGTAAGTCTTCAATAAATGTTTCCACATATTTTCGGTTTTTGTTTTATATTATTATTATTTATTAAATTACTAATAGTAAACTTCAGTTCTTTAATTACGTACATCAATTATATTTTATTGGTATTCATTTGTTTTGTTTTTTTACTTTTTCATCTATACATTTTAATTTTATTTTTATGTGTGTTTAATTTCTGCAAGATATTGGACATGGGTCCCTATATTATTTGAAATAATAATAATAAATCTTTTTTTTACGATTTTTCATCATATTTTTAATGTGGGCCTATGGTTTCTTTTGAAAGTGGTTGTAGCTAACATAAACTGTTATACTGACCTTGAAATTTGTGGCAAAATTCATTTTACTATGTAATGGAAATATTTGCCATGATAGGTTTGCTCTATTTCACATAAACAATGAATAGATTGATTGTTATTTGTGCTTTAAGAAAGAAAATACAAAAAATGCCTTTCAATTATTATGTAGTTGTTATTATTTGAGTTCGGTATTGTTTTAATTTTTTCTTTAAAAAAGGAACAATATTTACTGGATTTAATTTTTTTTTAAATTTTTACAATGACAGATGATGTTTGTGTATTTGTTTATAATTGAGCATTTACTGTCTTACAAAAAATGTGTCTATAAATCTGTCCAACTTGAAATGTAAATGGTTTATGGCACTCTATATAGTTAAGAAAACAATCTCCAAAGCAAAAAATAGCAAAAGGCTTGCATTTCTGGAATACATTGTGAATTCTGGTTAAATTTTCTGAAATATAGACACCATCACATCTATTAATCTTTTGTTTGCCTATAACCACTACAACTGTCACATTAATAAGAATACGTTAACCAAAAAATAAAAAAAAAATTATATTGTGTTTCCTCTTTATATCGATATTATTTCTAAATTAAACATTCATTTTTTAGCTCTTTGGAATTCCTATTTAGTTTTTTTTTTTAATTTGAAAAACCACATTAGAACAGGTGTTAGGATATCTGGGAATTCAGTTAAGGTTTGAGAGTAAAATTATTGACAAATCCGATAAGTTATTAGAAACGTTTGTTTATTTTTGTTTGGAAATTTGTGTTGGGTAACAAATCTAAAACCATTAATTATGAAGACCTCATAATTGAATTTACATATATATGAAATTCGCTAAAAGTTTATGATAACGGTAGGAAGTTTATGATAATTGTGGGCACGGCAGAATAATAATATTGAAGGGTCCTCTAAATCAGTAATTTGATACGCCACCATATTAAGTTAGGTTATGCATTTTGAAGTAGTTGCTTAAATAATTATAGCGCCTTTCATCAATTTCAACTGGAAAGCCCGCTGAATTCCTAATCTACACCAAGTGTTCATGTGTGGTTTATTCGCTTAATATTCTTTTCTAATACCTCTCGATTTTTTAGTTTGGCGGTTTTTCTTCTTCGAGAATTTAGTTTTTGCACTTCACTTTTTAGCTTGAGATATTTTCTTTTTGAAGAAATTATCTCTTGTTACATTCATTGTTGTTGTTGGTTTTTTAGTTTATTTTTTACTCTAGGAGCATTAAGAGCAACTTTGTATCCATATGTATTTAATAAGGATTTTTGTTATCGTTTTAGTTTTGTTAGTATAGTAGTATGCTATCCTGTATAGAATTGTTCATTTTTTTCAGTTTGTTGTTGTATTATTTTATTTAAATTTGTTTTATTATGAATTTTCACTTTCGTTTCATTCTCGTATTCGTACATACATTTATAGATTTATTTATATTATATAATAACTACATAATTTATAAAACAGAGTTGCACCCTTGGATTTGTTGTGGTTGTTGTTTTGTTGTGTTGCATGTTGCAGCAGCAGCATCATCATCAGTATTAATAACGTGTGTGTGTTTGTTGCTTGGTTGTTTTATTTAATTTAAATTAAGTTTATAAAATCGTATCGTTGCTAATAATGTATGGTGTGTGACTAGTAGTAGACAAGTTAAAGATGCTAAACTCATCGACGCGGTTACTGCACTGGCCGGTGAATTTGATTTTTCATGTGGTGTAATTTCATTATCTTCATTATTATCTGAACGAGGATCAACTGGGAAGGATGTGGCACCTGGAAAAAGGGAAACAAAACATGTAATTTTATGACAATGTTATATAGGTAATGTGTGGGTGGGTGCTTACCATCTCCAGAACCATCACCAGATCCTGGTAACCGGTATTCCTCATCATCGACATCATCGGTTATGCGGCCAGATCCTTCTTCATCACGACCAGCCATATCACTTTGAATATCGTTGATTGTTCTGGGTGGGGATGGTACCTAAAATTTAAAGAAGAATGCGTATTAAAAATTAATTTTTTGGAATTATTTCTATAAACGTGTTCAACGGCATTTACATTAGGATTTGTCGGGTTATCATCCTCTATGAGGCATTGATTTAACATACATATATGTAAGGAAAAAGTTATAATGAAAATTCCGTTTTAGATCCCAACATTGTAAATGCGTATTGAAAAAGTTTATTAAATGGTTGAATGTCCAACTTACCGCTGTTTCCAGATTTTTGCGTATTTTCAACAACTTATCGAGCAATTCATGTAATTTAGTTGGCCTAGATGTTGGCTCATAAGGTACTTCAGGATTGTAGCGTTGTGTATCGGTGCCAGGAGTATTTATGATTATTTGATCGTAATCACTAACACGATCTCCGATCCAGCAGTGACGATCGTTTCTTTGAAATTCTTCATCATCGCAAACGCTGAAAAATAAAAAAATAATTATTAATAAATATTTTAGTAATCGAATAATATAAAAATTGCAAATGATATTTGTGAGTCAAATAACGGTTTATTGAAACAAAGAGTTATTATTCGACATTCTACTCCTTCTTTCGCAAATGATATTCCTCCTTTCCCGTTGACTCAGTTTTTTGTCATATGAAGCTTTTCCTTAAACTAATGAAGGAGTATAACACTTGGTTTAAACAAGACAATATTAATAGTCACACTTCTATAGTTAATTGGTGAAGAAGGCGCTGAGTTAAAATTGCCGCAAACTGAAATTGCAATGGAAGAAATTTTTGCGATGAAATTCAGAACCATGTTTAGTTTTGATTACATTACGCAATTTTACCTGCGTAAATTTTATAAAATTGTCTAATGTTATTAAAATTTTCTAATGTAAATCTAGACAGAAACGGCATGTACATTAGAACTTTTTACGGGGTGAATCTACTTTATGAGGATTTATTTGACATATAAGCAAAGGAATTGAAAATTGAAACCCACTGGTTTAACGAAATCCCGTTAAATGAAAACGTACTATAAGCATTTGTTCTGAATTTCATTGCAAAATTCCTTGGTGTTAATTAAAACTTCCTTGTCTGTTCAAGTGTTGACGTTTTCAAACATTGTAAAAATAACAAAATATTCATTTTTTAAAAATTGATAAAAATTTTGAAATTATGTTAACCGAAATTGTTGTAAATATTAAAGATTTCATACACAATATCATTGTGGGCGATATAGGAAATTATTCCAAGAGCTGTGATGTATAATCCTTTAAAAAATCAAAATCTCGTTGTGGTAAAATCCCTATAATTTTTTTCAGCCATGCCATCAGTGTCTCAGTTGCCGTGATTGCATTGCGAATCTAATATTCTTTGGCGGAGCAATTCTTATGCCAATATACATTTGCATTATAAGAGATATTTTAGTAAAAATTGGACGTTATAATTATAAAATTGCCAAAATTAAACGATAAACGTTGTTATGTGATATAGAAGTTATGACAATAAATTGATATGCAGAATTCGATATAACATTTTTGAAAAGATTTTCAAGAGTTTCGTGATATTTACTTATTTGATAACCATAACAAATAATATGTTTCTGTATTCTAGATTATAAATTCCAGTTTGGACTACACAAAATTTATTTACGAACGGATGACGCCAGCCCAGATACTTACTTATTGACTATGTTTGAATAGAACTCTTTGGATTTATCAATGGTCGATGAGAATTGCAATAGTTCAGGTTCAACTGGATTTATCTTTTTCGTATAATGAGATAGAGGTGTTTTAATTTCATTATCGGTATCTTTGGAGGGTAACAATTTTGGTGTACCACAAGTTTTTTTAACCTAGAAAAAAATGAGAAACAAACACAATTTTATTTAAATGAAATAATAATTAAGATTAGAAGCTATTATCATACGATTAAACTTAAATCTATATTAAAAATTTTGAATGATGAGTAAATGACTCACCAGCTAATTAAATGAGTGATGTTAGAATGAAGGTCACTAGTGATATTTATATACTAAAAATGTGTATGCAAATTTTTTCATATCGAACTTTTAGATTTGACCAAATTGAAGACTCGATGTATAATATCTTTTGTTTAAGCGAGATTTTTCTTTTAAAGATTAAAGAGATAAACATTTTTCTTTTAAAAAATATTTAACTTTCGACATACCTTAGTATGTTTCTACATAGTATTACAAATGTGCACCTGCCTGTATGTGTATGTAGGCACATGCATGTCGTTCTATTTCGTATGTAATTATCCTTGCAACAGGCATCCTAACCGTAATGTCATGTTATACTTTAACTAATTCATTGCCTACTTGATAATTTAAGCCATGTCGGCACTTTCATTACTAAAACACTTTACTTGTTGTTGTCGTGGTAAATAAATGCACATGCTACTAGTTACGATAGTCTTACAAGTTTTAAAGAACATTTAAAATTATTTAAACAGAACTAACATACGAGAACAAATTAGAAGAGAACTGAAGAAATGTTAAGAAGTTGGTTTTTGAAAAAATTAAAGCTATATTTTAGAAGCGCTATAATTCAATGAAGGTGTGAGAAAGGGTAGAATTATATCAATAATTCCGTGACTTTCTAACTTCTTGGATATTAATGAGAGAGTTTTGTGATATATGTAGTTTGTGTTAAACAGCTTTATAAAAGCACTCAATCTCCTCATTTAAGCGCTAATTAAAATTTTTTTGTAGAAAAATGTATAAAACCAAAGAAAATGTTGAAGCATTTTATATGGGTCCTGAATCATTCATTTCAATGGTAAAAAGTGGGTTAAAAGTCCAAATCAAGGTCGATTAATGTCATACAGGGAGATCACTTGTTCCTTAAGTTTGCTGTCAAAATCCACTATTATTCCAAATTTTTGACTTTAGACTTGAGAAGGAACAGCTGACTTTCGCTTGCTGGGTGCCCTTAATAATAAATCTTGGTACTCGAGTTCTGTCTCTGTTACAAAATTTCATGAATTTTGTACCTCATCAGTTCTATTCTTCGGATGACTATACCCAAACCAAAGTATTCAGCTCAAACGATGATATCGGTCAAGTATATGGTTCTCGAGAGTAACATTGAAAATATGGTCTAGAACGTCGGAATCATTGAATTTTAAATCTGTCTTACATTTATAAACAGGGAAATGTTGTTACTTTGGGGTCTCCCTATAGATTTCAGAATATAAAATTTAAACTAATTTGTGTAAATGTTCTTCTTTTCTCTTTTTTTAAATTCAACTTACCGTATTTTCCAATTCGGGACCATTTCTCATGGCATTCATTATTGAATCAGATAATTTAACATTTAATTGTTTAATTGCTGCAACAATGCCAACATCAGCACTCATATGGACATTCATTAAATTTTCCAAACCAGCCGCAACACTAGACCAATGGCTATCCAAAGCACCAGCATATTGAGCCGAACAACCTCTGTGATTGAAAAAAAGGAAAATGCAAAAATAAATGAATGGTAGAAAAATGATGAAATACAAAACAAAAAATCCACACAAAAAAGTGAACACTTGAGTGGAAATTTCATTAAATACAATGAATTGCTCACTTTGTCGTACAGCAGATGCTGATGATGATGAGCGCCTGGCCCATTAGGCTCAATGGAACAAACAACCTACCTTAATACATTTACACAGTAACCGTGACATGTTTTCACATGCGTCTTTTGCAGACCATTACAGCGTGGACAATAACTCATTCGTAGCAGATGCTTTTGGCAGCTTTCCGTCAAATGGGCCCCATACAATTCATCGGTTTCGCCCAGAACATCGGCACTCTGGTGTAGGGCATTGATCAGTATGTGCACCATTTGAATGCTTTGCCTTAAATTTCGACTGATTTCGTTGGGTATGTCACCGAAGGGTTGAATGTCGTCATAAGTGTGTTTCAAGCAATTAATGTAATCCTCATGCAATTCACCATATCGTTCCTTGTTCAAATGGACGACTTGATGGTAGGCAACGGGAAATAAATTGACAAAGAACTGATGTATGGTGTGTTCCAATGTGTTGACGCTGGTTGTGGACTCGGTCGATTTTATGGTACTGCAAAAAAAGGTGGTAATGAAAGGGAGAGAGAAATTAAAGAAAGTTAATTTTAATCGATTTATCAGTAATGTTTCGAATTATTGATATGAAAGTAAATGGTCGGTTGTAAGGGATAAAGTGTGAATTTAATCGGTAGTGTACTGGAAATGGAGCATGACTGCGATATAATTTAAGAGAAAATGATATTCAATTTTAATAATATCTTTTATAAATAACAAGTTTAAGACTTTATTTTGGTGACTATTATATAGAGTAGCTAGGCAAGGATTTTCGTAGAAATGTGTGATATCCTAATACCACAAACACATTTTCAAATATCAGCTGACTGAAAACTTTATACCAATTTAGGAGAGTTCGTTTACTCAATAATATGCACAAATTGTTACCGAATTTTGTTCGTCCGATAAAAGAGATTGATTCAGAGAGAAAATTTGACAGTTATATTACTGAGTATATGCAAATTCTTACAAGGAAAATTTACCCACTAAAGATTTACAGTAACATTAGCTGATAATTAATCAGCTGTTTTGTAAAAACAGGAGAGGGAGGTATGAAAAGTGACAAGGGGAGAGACAATCTTAAAAAATTGCTTGTGTAAACCTTGAGCAAGGTTTACACAATTGTGAATTGTGAATTATTGTGAATTGACTTTCATTGTGAAATCTTAAACATAAACCAAACTTTTGATATTAAACTTGAGAAAAAAACAGCTGACTTTCGCTGGTGTGTGACCTTATTAATAGATCTTGGTTGGAACTATAGCCTATTAATAGGGTCATCCATGGGTCATTCCATTATTCTGAATTGATGGAAGCCAAACGTAAACAACGTCCACATTATATGTACTCGAGAAAAGACACCTGACTTCCGTTTGTTGGGTGATTTTATTAATTTATCTTGGTTACAACCAAGCCCTATAAATAAGGTCGTCCAGGGAGACCAGCTGGATATCAGCTGCCACTTAAGTTTGCTGTCAAAATCCATTATTGCAAACTGACTTTCATTATGAAAACGCAAACAAAAACCAAATTTTTGATATTAGACTTGCGAAGAAACAGCTGATTTTCGCTTGTTGGATATTGCTCGTTTAGTTATTGCAATTTTTATCTTTTCCGATCTCATTCATATAAGTTTATGTAAGTTTGTACTGAGTAAATGTTATAAATTTTTTAATACTAGTTTAGACAGGATGAAGTTCCTAAATCGAATCGATTTAGAAGACATAGACCAATCGTGATTTTAGTCTATACATGTTTATCTTATTGATTAATGTTATTTTTTAAGCAAAAAAAATATTGTTCCAAAAAATAGGGGATTTACGTTAATCATCATAAATTTTTCTTGCTCTAGAACTATATGTTGATTTATGTAGACCTCACAATTAAAATAATGACCATATTATTCTTATTTTCCGCATATATGTAATTAGTTCAAGTGGAAAAAACATTACCAATATACATAACTAATCATAATTACCTTTTAATATCCGAATATAATTGTTCGATTAATTTCTTTGACAACGGTAACATACGTTTGTAGACTTGAGAAAATACGTTCATAGTACGATTTTCCGATTCTTCGGTAATATCCAAAGTGTGAGCTGGAATAAAAAACGAAAAAGAGAAAGAACAAATTAGTTATGGCAATAAATTATAAATCAAAAAAGAAGTGTTCTTATACTGTCTGTCATTAAACGAAAATTCCATGTAATTGAAGTGTAATTTACTGACACGACAGGGGGGATTTCACTAAAGGAATTTACGTCAAAATACAATAATATTTGATATATTTTATTTGGAAATGTGTCATGTGTATATTGTTTTGCTGTTTTCGATTTTGTAATTGACTTGTTGTCTAGCCAAGGGCCAAAAACACGTACATACTTTATATGTACAATTTTTTGTGAATAACTGGGTATAGATTTTGTATGTAAGTCTATCTGTTTATTTTTCATAAAACATTTGGCTATTTTCTTAAAATCTATGCATAAATATTATATGTATTTAGATATTTATTGTATTTATATGTTTAACTAGAATATACCAATAGACAGTGATTCACTTAATAACATTATCTGTTAGTTTATTATTATTATTAAAATTAAATGTTTTCTTTTTGATTTGAGATTATCAGACAGTATTATTGAACAGAAGTGATATGGGTAATTTCATTAGAATTATATATAGACACCTTAAGAAAAAATATAATTTTTTATATACCTATATAGAAGCTTTACTGGATTTAGTAAACCCTATGGATTTAAATTGTCATTTCCATTGCTTATTTGTCAAATAAATCCTTCTGAGATGACAAATATTTTTTTCTTACATTTTCACCTGCTTCTCAAGTTTACTGTCAAATTCCGTTATTGTGAATTGATTTTCATTATGAAAACTTAAACCGAGGTCTTTTAATAATGTCATCTTAGGAGATCAACTGGATATCAGCTGCCTCTCAAGTTTACTGTCAAATTCCATTATTGTGAATTGATTTTCATTATGAAAACGTAAACAAAGTCCAAAAGTTTGACATGAAACTTGAGAAAAAACACAGACTTTAGATCTTGAATTAAACAAAGTCTAAAATTTTGACATTAAACTTGCGACAAAATAGCTGACTTTCGTTTGCTTGGTGACTATATCAATAAATTTTGGTTTATATCTCTTCGGTATTATTTGTATTGAATATTATTAACGTTCTCCAAAAAGCTGTATTTTTATTGCTCAGTTTCATTCAAATATTTTAAATTATTACACATTTAAAGAAAAACATTCTTTATTCCCAAAAGAAATTACTCACACATTATTCATATTGAAATTCCACACCTGCCGCGTATAATTAAGCTAACGAATTAAAACATTCCATGGAAATCGACAAATGATATGCATTGCAATGGACGAAATGGCAGATGATTGTGTGACTGACTGGCTGGCAGTGCAATCGCTTCCCTTTGTTCAGGATTTTGTCTAGCAGGAAGATGTAATTGTCATTAAAATAACAATGTTTATCTTCATCATCCTGATAAAGATTACAAGGAAATAAAAGAGAAAAAGAAACCTACAACAACAACTTCTACCATTGTAACTTTAACAACAATATGCACTTAATTTAATTAATTAATTATCAGAGGAAATATGTAAAACATTTCTTTAAGAGCAGAAACAGAAGATATTCAAAACGACTTTATAATTTCTCAGCTGTTCGCTGCACAGACGGGGACACTTACATGAAACTGCATTCTTCATACCAGTTTCGGAGATACCTTTATAACCATCCATATTCATTTTTGTCCAGCTAAACGACTAGGAAGCCAAACCAGTTAAGATCTAAGCAGAAAGCATTTTCATAGATAAACTAAGTTTGTATTACAAAGATGCCAATGTCGGTGTCAGGAAAGATGAAATAAACAGAAGAAAAAAAACCTGTTCCCTAGTTATGGCTGTTAAACGATATTTTAGCCAGCCATCCATTTCCTTTAATTTCATGGCATGCTAATACAAAGAGTCAGGTTTAGCATAGCTTGTTTCTTTTTCTTTTACTACATTTTTGTAGTTCATTACCAATATAAAACCGGGTTGGATGACTGGCTAGCTAGCTGGCTGGGTGACTGGTCACAGCCACCTTCATGTCTGGGTGGTCGGTCGTTGGTTGCTCACCACTTGTTTTCGTTGACTTAAATTAATAACATCACAAAAAAAAAAAACATCAACCAGAAAAAGAGCAACATGCCTTAATTTTAATATTAAAGTAAATATACCGCCACCAATAATCACATGGAAATAAAATACATTTTAATGAGCCTTTTTTACATCACGCAATGCGACAGATGTTCATATGTAGATATATCCGATTAATAATAACGTATATTGATGAGTATGTGTATTGATTGAAGATTTTATTTTAATATAAAACATACAGAAGAATCCTGTTACAATGAAAATCTAAAAAAATTGTACGAAGAAGATGGTTACACGCTTTGTGAAAAGGTTCCGAACATTTTACAGTACTAACCATGGTCAATTAATAAGGTCACGCCTCTCAAGTTTGCTGTCAAAATCCATTACTGCGAATTTTCTCCCATTACGTAAACAAAGTCCATGACATTAGACTTGAGAATAAACAGCTGACTTTCGCCAGATATGTGACCTGATTAATAGATCTTGATACTAACTTGATACTTCCTCCATAAAGTGAAAACCAACAATTCACAGTAACGGGTTTGAACACCAAACATGAGACACAGCTGATTAGCAGTTACTTCTTTTGTGGCGACCTTAGACCACGTGTAAATCTAGATATTAAGTTTTGTATAGAGGATGTAACTAGAGAGATAATGTATATAATTACGAAATAAGCTACATTGTAAAATATGTCTTGTTCGTTATTTCCAGTAACATTTACTCAGTAAGAACTTACTGAACATAAATGCAAATTTTTTGATCTAAAGAGAGAAAATTGTAATAAAGTAAACGAACAACATCCAGTAAAAAGTCTGTACACTGATACAGCTGATTACCAAAACAAAAAGTTAGGACCAAGAAAAAAGTCTGCATTTTTGCTGTTTGTATTATTAACATATGTATATGAATTGTGTATTCTTTACCGATTTTAATGTTTTATTATATAAAATCTTGCTTGCAAACAACGTTTTTTGTTTGTTTACAAATCATATAAAAACAGCTGATTAAATATCAGCTGATGTTACTGCAAAATCTTTTCTGGTCAAATTTTCTTTGTAACAAGTTCTATTATTAAGGTCAGCCGCAAGAGAAAGTCAGCTGTTTTTTCTCAAGTCGTATGCCAACATTTTATACGATGTTTACTTTTTCAAAATGAATGTCAATTCACAATATTGGATTTGGCAGCAAACTTCAGAAGCTGCTGATATGTAACTGGCCTCCTTGAATAACCTTACTAATAGTTTAGTTTAGACTTAGTTGTTTAATCATTTCATTGGTTTCAAGATCTATTAATAAGGTCACGCAGTAAGCAAAAATCGGCGTTTTTTTCTAAAGTCGAATGTCAAAAATTTGGACTTTGTTTACGTTTTCATAATGGATGTTGATTCACAATAATGGATTTTGACAGCAAACTTGAGAAACCGCAGTATTCAGCTGGTCTCTCTGGCTGACCTTATTAATAGGCCTTTATTGGTTTCATAATTTTTGTGGTCATTTTGTTCATAGTAAAGTCTTTAGTTCATATAGGTCTTTTAAGTTTATCAAGTAATTTTATTAAATCTCGTCCAGCATTAGTAGGAATGATAAAATGTCAAATGTTTTTGTTTTGAATTTAATATAAAATCCGCCCCGTTGTCCAATACTAATTGCTCTAAATTCATAGGGTTTATTTTAATTTTGAAGCATACTAGTTTCTGTACGGCATAGGTTTTTATTGCAATTCCCCAATGTGTCTTGCCGAACTAAACTTCTTTGTCTCGATTTTCCATTCACATTTAAAAAAAATCGACAACTCGAGGAAATTCCAAGAACAAAATTACAGACAGCTACCAAACTTTGCCGCCAATAGTATTTATTTTGAAACTCAAAAGTTTCAATTGAAGGTGCTGTACTGTGACTTATTTACTTAAAAAAAAAAACGAAACAAAACTTCAACATCCGCACATATTCAACGGAACACATTTTCATATATTTACAAGACATAATTCTTGCATTGAATTTTAAATGGAAATTACTCTGTGCTAGCAACTTCTGAATAATGTACAAGTTTTCGTTCGTTCTGAAACAATTTGTTGTGTTGTCGTGTGTTGAGATAGGTTAATGATGGAGCAAGCAAACAAATGAAACTTCTACTTTTATCATGGCAGAATATACCAAAGTTAGAATTGGTAGGAAGGGAAAACATGTACAAATCATTAAAAATTAATTTACATTTAGGTGGGATTTTTCTATACTCAGCAAATGGAGTTCAACTGTTGGTGGTGGGAGGTAACAACAGGGCGACGACTAAAAATGCAATCACAAGTAAAGAAATTGAATTATTTAAAAGCCCTTTTAAATTTCCTCGGCTTCACTATTTCATTTGCAAAATTAGATTTTATTACAATTGCAATCAACACCCCTGTAAAAGTAAGCAAAAATAATGGGTCGATTATGGATGGCAACCGTAGTTTAGTTATGTTGCCAGTTGCCAAATTTGCATTATGGATGGCAACTGTTGTCAACTTCAGTTGCTTCAAATCGAATTTTTCGGCAACCATTTATTTCTGGTTGCTGTTTATAATAACTGAACTTTGTAGGCTTCCCATAATGGTTAATATTACTACAAAAGAAGAATTTGAGGTCCTTATTGCCCGGATGGAAGCTCACCCAAATGTAGCACGCGACGTGCGGACTTTTGGTCAAACCAAAGCCACTATCGATGATGTTTGGAAGGCCATTTCAGAAGACCTTAACTGCTATGACCCACTAACACGCATTCCAAATGAATGGCAGAAAGTGGCGTAAATCTTCTTTTGGGTCCATGATATTTAAGTGTGTATCATCAATACATCCGACAACACCCTGGAACTTTTCGAATAAAAAAATTGTACTCTTCCCTTTTTCCTCCTCCGTTAATTTGTATACAATCAAAATTTTA